CTTTAGTATTATTAATGAGTGCTTTATTAATTTCATTTTATTGTCCTTTAACAATCTTAGCAATGAAGGTTGATGTTTATTTTCAAAGGTTAAAAGACTCACCTCAAGGTCAGAGCTGTAAGTGGTTGAGCCAGGTTCCTGCAGTGCAGAAGCTGCCATTTGCCTGGCCAGGGCCTTTTTGAACACTTATGGCAGGTCCATTTGCTCTATGGGTGAATGACCTTCCAAACGGGGCTGGCCAACACTTCCTTTCCACAGCTCGTGGCTCCAGCTTTCTGCCGGTCTGGCCCCAGCCCAGTCACCTGTCCCTTGGACTTTGGAAAGGGTCTCAGTGACACTCCCTATTCTGAGTGTCCCCTTCCCTGTCTTCACTAAGCACTGTGCTTCGCTAAGCAGCTAGACAGCATATCACGAGGTACCAACCCAGGCCCAGTCTCTGGGTGAGGCTCCCCACTGATTTGTGAACAAATGAATGGACAAGTGAATGGGGTTCTTTGAGGGAGTTGGGAGGTCAGGACTTCACATGTAAGCTAGAAGGGAACGTTTGTGGGTACCTTCAACCTAAGACCTCCCATCCCCCTATTCAGTCAATCTGGTTCCAGGGCAGGTCCTGGAGACCCCTCCTTCCCAGCCTAGTCACAGCTTCCTGTCCCCTTCTGCTGCTGCCCCCCTGTGGCCAGTGCCAGCATCTCTGCTGAGGAACATTGAGTGAAGTCACTGCCCAGGCACAGGATGAGGAACCTGTCATATAGCAAGCAACTCCTCCAGATCAGGCCTCAGAGCCTAAATTTCAAGTTTGAAGAGCCAGAGAGATGAGAAATGGGGAAAGGACAAACAGGGGGAATCTTAGGCAGGGATCAGCAGCCCTGGGTTCTGGTCCACTCTGTCCCTAGTATTCTCCATGATCTGAGACATTTTCTTCTCTAGGCCTCAGTTTCCACCTCAGAACAATAAAAGAAGTAGAACTGATGCTCATGAAGGATGCTTCCAGGGCTGGCCTCTCCTACCCACAAGCCACAGGGCCAGGTGCCCAGGTAGTTGGTGTGGGGGATGTACAGGCCCCACGAGGCAGAACAGGCAAAAGTGACACACATATGGGAGTGCAGATATGGGTGATAATCCTCAGTCACATTTCCAATGCCCAACAGTGTATTACGGGCTACCTAGGAGCTGGTCCTCACCCACTGTCACTATCCAGCTATGAGGTAACCTTAAGCAAGTCACATCACCTCTCATTTCTTCATTTGTAAAATGTCTTCATCTGTAAAGTTTCTATCTCTGTTAACAGACATTTAAGATCTTACCTTCTTCAATGCCTACTTCTCAGTGATACAAAAAATATAGAAAACCTTTGAGAAGTCAGAGTAGTTACAAGGGGTGGCCCTTTTCTTTGCAGGCCCCACGCTACAGTTTCTGCTCTGGTTCCCCCCACAAATCTGCCTCAATGAGGGCCCAAGGTGAAATTCCAGAAAAACACTTACTTAGGAGGGTCTGCTTGAACCCTGAGGAACTGACCTTCCAAAGGAAGCCTGCTCACACCTTTCTTCTCCACAGCATGTGGCTTCAGGTCTCCACCTGTCCTGCTCCAGCCTGATGACCTGTCCCTTAGATTTGGAAAAGTTTTCAGGGACTCCCTCCCTGGAGTCCTTTCTGCTGGGTGTCTCCACTCAGGCTCAGTAAAGGTAAGTGTCCAGTAAAAATTTCCCCAAAGGGGCCTGGCCCTGGATGGGAATCAGGAGGGTAGGAACACGCACACAGGACAGGATGATGGGACAGGACCATGGGGGGTGGGGGGGTGCGGGGAGGGGGCAGAGAGTGATCTGCTGGAGCCTAAAGTGTTCCATACTCTAAAAAAAAGAAAAAGGAAAATCTATATACTCAATAGAATACTATTCAGCTCTCAAAAACAAAAACTGAAATCATGCCTTTTGGAACAATAGAGATGCAGCTTGAGGCGATGATAAGTGAAGTCATTCCGAGAGTGAAAGACCATTACATGATGGTTTCACTTGCTTGTGAAATATAAATAACTAAAGAAAACAAACACAACAAAAATAACTCTAGACTCTGAGAAATATGGTGGTGAGAAATATGAGCAGGGAGGGGACAGTGGGGGCAAGATGGTGGCACGGGAGCTCTACCGGAGGGTGACTGCCGCGTGTGCAAGTGCTGGTGTGCAGCTGTACTCCAATTCCACAGTTTTGTAAACAAATGACAAATCAATAAATTAGAATTTATTTAATCGGCTTTGTGTTCAGTGAGTCCAGTTAGCCTCCGGAGCAAGGATGGGGGCCTTGCAGTATTGGCACTTGAACGCTCCTCAGCGTCTTCTCCCTGCCAGCTCAGCTACGAGGTCTGGGAATCAAAGCCCTCTACTTCCAGATCAGTGGCCCCCAGAGGCTCTAGCTTCCCCCTTACAGGTTAAGTAAAATGAAAATAACTCCTTTTTTGACAGTATTCTACAGCTTGATAAGTCTTTGCATTTATCTTATAGTGACTTGCCTTCCTCATGACGACTTATGAGGCAGGTATTACAGTCTCCCCTTAATGACAAGAAGGCTGAGCCCAAAGGGAGGGGGGGCACCTTGCCCAAGGCCCACAGGTGGACACTGGTGGATACCTCAAACTGGTTTTTGATCCCACAGCTTGCCCAAAGCTCTAATCAGAAGGGACCTGGGCTAGGCCGCCATCAGGCCCAGATGAAGAACAGGTGAGTGGGAAGGGAACTGCTTTTGTTCTGCAGAGGCAACAACACACTGGAAGCCTGGGGCTTCCACCAACAAAATGGGCCGCAACCTTAAGGAAAGGAAGAAAAGGCCTATCAGGAGAAGGATCGGGAACCCAGACAACTCCACGAGATTCGTGACAAGTGACTTCTATGGCCCAGGCAGCTGAGTGGTGAAGCGGGTGGGGAGAGACCTGTTCTGTGGGTTTAGGGTAACAGTCCCTTCCCCCCATTGCCCTACTAGACCCACTGTGAACACGTGAAGTGTGAAGGGAACTGGAGCATCTGGCCCAGAACAAGACAGGTTGAGATGTCCCTGCATTTGAACGGCCCTAGGTTTCCAGCAAAATGGGGAGTTCCAGTGCAGAGGACCTGGGGTTTGTTGGGAGCATGGCAACAGCCAGCAGGCTAGCATCTGTCCTTAGGCCAGCAGAGGGGGCTGGAAGCAGATCACAAAAGGAACACATGCCTCTGACCCTCAAGGAGCTTATGAGGCCTGAAGATCTCCTTCCACCACGCTGGTTACCACCCCAGCCCGTCGGCCCAAAATGGCAGGCATGGAAGGCCTGGAGGACCTGGGGAGGCAGGGAAAGCTGGGGGAGATCTTGGGGCAGGTAATAATTAAAGGGGCATTGGTGAGAAAAGGCTGAGATGCGGGCCATGTGGAAAGGGCAGAGCAAAACCTGGGAAAAAATGTGAAGCTAAAGAATGGGGGTGGGGGGCAGCGGTTTGTAAGGACAGGAGGGACTAAAGCAGATTGGGGACAGCTGGGAAATTTGGAGACTGAGAATTTTTCCATTTGAGCAAGAGAGACCCAAAAGGGCCACCCCCATCTCCAAGCAGTTCCCCCAAGCTACCCTAGAGCTGAGCTCTTAGCAAGGGGAGCCCCAGAGGCAACAACAGAAAAGGCAGGTGTTGGAAATACCAAGGGCTTCAACTATCAATAGAAGGGTCCAGACTAGACCCAAGCAGGCCCCCACCCAGTGGATAGCAGCTCCCAATCCCTGTGAGGAGGGAGAATGTCCCTCAGCTCCAGCTCCCTTGCTCGTCTCTACACACTGGCGGTGACCAAGGCTGCATTCTAGGGTCCCCCTCTCTACCCACACTGCTGTGGGTGCATGTGTGTGTTGGAGGGGCCTGGTGACCTCTGATGGACGAGACTCACCTGCCAAGGGCACCCCTTGGCAGGGGTGGCCAATGATCCTGCACCCTGCCTTCCTCAACTTACCCCCTGGGTTCCAGGGTCTTTTTCTCCCTGAATCGGCAGTTTCAGAAACCTCCAACTCAGCATGTCTACTTCCTGAGTGGGTAAAGAAGAGGGGGCGTGGGGGGAACTTCCCAGCCTCCCAGAGAGTTCGTTATGCAAACGAAGGAAATGGGCCCCAGAAATGAAACCGAGAGGCACCCAGCAGCCCACACTCTCTGGGAACCTAGGGAGGCCAATTTGTGTCCCCTCTCTGAAGCCAGCTCCCCACTCCCAGGCCTTGAATGCTGCCTACCTTCTTGCCTAGGGAACAAGTCTACCACCAACTCCTGGCAGCACAGGCACCAACCTGTACTTGCTCCTCCCAACCCCTCTCCAGAAATAGAAGATTCCCATAGCCCCACCCCATCACTCTGCCTGGAGGAATTTCTTCCTTAGGTCTAACTACAGTCTCTCCTGCTGCAGAAAACAGGCTCCACTGGATCTAAGCTCCTTCAGGCACCACTGTATTTCAAGGGCCTTACCGTTTCCGGTATGTGGTAGACTTTACAGATGTTTGTTGAATGAGTGGTCCTTGTTTCATCCACTGCGGGCTCACCCTGCATCACCCCACCCCACCCCTGAATTAAATGAGCTAATACTCTCAACAACCTTTAACAGTGCCTGGATCCTTAGTGGCAAGTCGTACATGAGCACTTATTACAGAATTCAGAAATCAATCACAGCCCTCTCCCGGAGGCTGCCAGCCCTACCCCCTTCACTAAAATCACTCGTGTCACTCAGCCTGAAGCCACCCGGCTGTTCTGCCCTTTCACTGGCTGGGGGATTTCCAGGGCTGTGAAACCCGGTCAGGAAGGGCTTCCTAAACAGACTGCAGAACGTGGGCCTGCTAGGGAGAGCATGTCAGCAGAGCAGGCACCAGATCGGTGGGGTGAGAGGTTTGGGGGCACCAAGAAGTGGGGGAGGCGAGATCGAGAGCAAATGTGGAGCCAGGGTGCCACCTAGCGGCTCCCTCACCGCCCCAAGCCAGAAACCTGAGTCCTCCCACTCCATGCCCTCAAGGGTGTGAATTAACTTTTGCGTGACAAATACAGGACACATTTTTTTTCAGTTTTATTTCATTTCCCCCCCACACCCCCACCCAACCTGTCAATCCCTTTTCTGAAACTAAGAAACCCAAGGTTCCCAGAGATTAACTTGTTCCAGATCACACAGCCTGGATTGGAGCCCAAGAGTCAGACTCCAAAATCTACTCTCCCAGGGGTGTAGCCAAGGCAGCTATGAGCAAAATGGGGAGTTCCAGTGCAGAGGACCTGGGGTTTGTTGGGAGCATGAATGTGGGAGGAGGTAAGTAGCAGTGCCTAGGACGGTGGTGGGTGTGGGGCGTCCCTGTGCTTAGAAACCACCTAAGTGACACCCCCATTCAGTGTCACAACCCCAACAGCACTGTACAGGGGTCTAAGTCTACAGTTCACACAGGAGGTGAGGCCTTGTGAGAAGCAGAGGTAAAAAGGGAACATCACCCCTGGGGACAGTGGCTGCCAAGTCCAACAAAACCCCAGGGAAAGCCCTCAGGCTGGGCCTCCAGCCAGGACTCTAGCCAAGTCCCAGGGGTACAGGCAGCTGTGGAGCCAAGGGGCCCACTCTGGGGGTACATACACAAACACACACTAGAGGATGAAAACTCTTTGGCTTCAGACTCAGAACACCAGCCCTCCACCACACACCAAACCCTCCAGGCTCCCCTCCCCTCCCCCCTTCACAAGGGCACAAGTCTGGCAGCCTAGGTCCGGCGCCCAAGGCCCTGAGCATTTGCATACATTTGCACAGACAGCTAGGCTGGTCTGGCTGTGACCTTTTTCTAGCGCAAGTAGCTTCAGTGCAAGGCTGGGTGATCTCCTCTGTGTGGGCAAGCCAAAGACACGAACCATCCCAAGAAGAGGGCAGTTTAACTGGGAGGCCAGCCCCCAGGCATTAGACAACACAAGGCCTTAGCCCCGGTGGTGCTGGCTGTGCTCCTCCCTGGGCCCCACCACTCTGGGGCTCCACAAGTGTTTATCCTTCTTTCCTGACCTGTGAGAGACAAGTGGGGGACAGGAGAAGGCCTTTAGAGGACAATGCCACATGAAAAATGGGGCACTCTCCCTTTAGGAGAGCGCACCCTGTTCCTCCTAAGGCAACCAACACAAGCAGTCATCCCCAATCCCATGGGGCCCAGATCTTGTCTCCTGGGATGAAGGCTGCAGTTGGGAAAGCAGAAAGGTAGAGAGCAACCCCTGCCCCATCGGCCATGCAGGCGGAGGCAGAAAGACAACTCTGGAGGAAAATTCCCCTCAGTCCACAAAGGCACTTGCCCTGGGGGGAGAGGGGATGTGTGGAGGGGGAGGTGGGGGATGTCCAGCTAAAATGGAAATAAGACCTCACAGTAAAGCCATCCAGGGCCCTTGCTACTTCACAAGGCCCTTGCTACGCGCCCCCTCCCACCCCCCACCAGCTCCTCCTCTGGCCCACCCAGGACATACTTCCAAAGCTCCCCCACTGCTACCCACCTCTTCTTCAATGCTTTGTCTCCAAAGAAGTGGCTAAAGATAAACTCCTCAAAGTCATCCACTTCATCGTCATCACCTGTCTGTCTCACAGCCACCTCCTCCAGGCTGTCCTCCAAGGCATCCACAAAGTCCCGGAAACGAAGGCGGTCATGGCGAAAAATGCCATCCTCACCAAAGTAAGCAGGAGAGAGGGGGAGCTCCTCGGTCAGCTGCCCTGCCCAGGGCAGCCGTGCCAGGTATGTCCTCAGTAGAGAGGCCAACTCCTGTTGCCGCACTGGGGCTAGCTCCATGCCAAATAAGGCCAGGCCCTCCTGCCGTGCACATTCATGCACACCTGAGCAGCCCTGGGGTGCCCGGTACTTGTGCCTCGACAGCTCTGCCCAGGGTGGCAGGGTGTCGTGCCTATCTTTAGACCCTTCCTTCCACCAAGGCTGCTTCTGCCTTTCCCCAGAGAAGTGGGGGCTCCCATTTTTCCTGGGGGGCGCCTGGGGGACTTGTCGCTTGCCATCCTTCTTGCTGCCCCACTCTTCTACTCTTGGCTTGCCCTCCTTCCACCTCCCTGCCAGCTCCCTATCCTCACCCCCCCAGCTCTTCGTTCTTTCCCCACCAGATTCCTCTTTCTTGTACTTCCAATGCTCAACCTTCCGGTCCCCCTGCTCTTCCCGCCTCTTGTCCTTTCCACTACGCTCTCTGGGACTCTGGAAGCGGGACTCCTGATGCCAGGCTTCTGAAGCATTGGTCAGGATGCCCTGGTCCCAGCTTTGCAGGCCCTCCAGCTTCCGGGCCAATCTGTGGCCCAGCTCAGCCAGGCCAGCATGAGCCAGGTCCCCTCGGCCCGCACGCTTCAAACTCTGCACTAGGTCCTTCTGCACAGACCCTAGCAGCCGCCGCTGCCTCTCCAGCTCCTGCCTTAATGTTTGGGCCTCAGCCTCTAGTCGTTCCTTCTGCTCCACGAAGTCAGGGCCTGGCTGCTGTCCCCTGGGGTGTTGCTCCTTGCTGACCTGGCCCCCCTGTGGGCCTGTGCCCCAGTTGAGGCACACCCCATCTGTGCCCCGGACACAGCCAGCCTCCAGCCCCTGGAGTCGGGCCCGCAGCTGCTGCAGCTCTGACTCCAGAGCCTGCTGGGAGGCCTCGCCCTGCTGGAGGGCCCCTCGGAGCCGAGCATTTTCCTCTTCTAGGCCTTTGGGCTGGTGCATCAGGCTCTGAAGCTCTTCCTTCTGGGCCTGGAATGAGGGTAGAGATGAAGGAGACCACAAGAGGGTGTCCTTGTGAGTACACACTCAGTGCCTCCTATCCCAGTTCCATTCCATAAAAGTCAGCAGATGGTCCAGGCCCTTTTTATGGTCTGGAACACTCAGGATTTGGTTCTGTTTTCCTCCCCATCCATACCCTGCATCACGCTCTGGGGTTCCCAAATTCCATCACAAGTTTCAGTTTCCACATCTTTACATAAGCACATTCTTAAGTTCATCTAAGGATAATCAATATGTGGGTCTTGTTGTCACAAAACCTGGAACAGACATTAATTGATCCTCCCATACCCGGAACAGACATTAATTGATCACAGCACTCCTTTCCCATTGAGCCTTGGCGAGTTCTCCAAATCCTTTCCACATACTGCTCCAAGCTGACTGGTGGCATGCCACATGAAGCAGGTATGCCAGCCCTGGCCTAAACCTTAGCACGAGGGATATTAAGGAGATGAGAGAACCGGCTGTCACGAATAGGGATCAGTATGAAAAGTAGATAGAGAACAACTAAGGTGACCTGACTTTAATGGAAAGCGGAAAAGATAGAACTGTATGTGTAGGGCCTCCCTGGTGGCGCAGGGGTTAAAGACACAGTGCTATCAAGCTATCGCCAGCCACTGCAGCACAAGTTTGATCTCTGGCCAGCCAGGGAGGTGACCCACGTGGCGCAGCAGACCTCTCCGGTCTCGCCTGCTGCTCCCCTCAGCAGTGTATTTCAGTAGATCTTCCTGTTCTGCTCCCCACTTTCTCTGGTGAATCCTCTCACCCCCTACACCTCTGGTCTATACCCCAGTTCTTATATGCATAAATAAATAAATCTTTTAAAAAAAAAACTATGTGTGAAGAACTTCTTTCATGGGAAGACACTGGAACAGATATCTGACACAAGGAAGGCTGGCCTAGAAAGCCCCTCATGCTCGTGCCCACCTGCAGCTGGGCCTGCAGCAGCCGGATGTCCTGGTTCTCCTTGGCCAGCTTGTCCAGAAGAAGGGCCATGTTCTGCAGGCTGGGGACACCGTCAGGGGGTGCGGAGGCCTGCAGCTGCTGCCTTAGCCTATCCTGAGGGCAAAGGCATCAGTTACCCCACCCTGCCCCACAGCCCTGAATCTCCCTCCCCCGAGGATACCCTCACTCTGGAAATAGTCACAGGTACCTGCCCATCCCCCTCGGCACCCGGCATCTCAGCATCTGCCCCTGTATCTGGAAAGACCTGCAGTTCCACTTCCTCCATGGGCCCTGAGGAAAGCAGAGTCATACAACCATCCCAAGGAACACAGAGCCCACTCCTCCCCCTGCTGTCCACAAAGTCACGCCCTGCCCTGGACCCACCCAATGGCTGAGAAGTCCAGCCAGGTAAAGGGCCAAGGGTCACCCTGAGCAGCTGACAAGGCCAATAATGAAGCAATAAAGCCACAGCTCCCAGCATTCTTCCTCCTGACCCAGCCAGCAGTCAACACCCTCCTCAGGGCTGGGAGGGGTAGACATGCAAGCAGGGTTCTCCCCACTCACCACCCTCAGACTCTGAGAGGCCACCTGAGGAAGAAGGCAGAGGAGTCGGATGAGCCCTTCAGAAGAGGTGGTGGGGTTAAAAACATGGCAGGAGGGTCCCCGCAGGGGAGGAAGCACTCACCAGAAAAGAGGAGCATCCCCAGGCCCAGCAGAACCAGGGCCCCAAGGAGGCACATGTTGAGGGAGATTCCCAGTTCTCCATCCGCACCCTCATTCCCGGTCTGGTCCTCCACATCCAGGGATGCCCTGGGCTGAGGAGCACTGGGCTCCCGGCCCCGCCGTCTGCGTAGACCCTCCACATCCACGTCAGTGTCATCCTCACTGCTAGAGCACTGGACGTCCGCCCTGATCCACTCTGGAGAAGGGATGAGGACTGGGCAGTGAGGTGACAGAGAGATGGGACATCGGGAGAGAGAAAGGCACACACAGGCCACCGCCCTGAGCGCAGAGGGGCACATGGAGAACCTGCCCCGACTGCCTGGGGTCCATGACCACCCCTGCCCAGGCTACAAACCACAGTTTTCATCTCCTTCTTCTTAGAGTGCCTCAAGCTCCTACCACTACTGTACCCTCCCAGTTCCTGCCCCACCCTGGTCTTGCTCGGGAGCCTCCTGATGGTGAAGGCAGTGGTATGTGTTCCTGGCACCACTTCTAGTTCTGCTCGTGTCACCCACCATCTCACCCACACCTAAGAGCCCCCCTGAGCAGAGTCCCTGATATGTAACTCCTGACCTAGCCTCCCTACCAGCCACTCCCATGTGGATGTCCCCCAGGGACTCAACATTCAACACACCGCCCTGCATCTGGTTCTTTGCTGGTGCCCCCAAATCAGGGAAAGGCACCACTGCTACCATCCAGCCTCCCTCTTCACTCACAGCCGGAGTTTAACATGTCAGCATCCCCACACCATGCCCCCCATGTCCGCCTCAGTTCAGGTCTTCATCAGTTTGCTCTGACCATTGCAGCTGCCTCCTGAGTGGTCCCAGGCCCCCATCTCTGCCTCCACCCCATCACCCTTCAGTGGGGAGAGTCATACACTCCTCTGCCACCAGCCTTGGATGTGGCCTCCTTAGCACAGGACAGGTAGCACCTGTCCCTTTGCTGATCCTATGGTCTCGGCCTGGAATGTTCTCTTCCTCCTACCCTACTACCAAAAGCCTGCTCTTTCTTCAAGGCCCCACTCAATGTCACCTCCAATGTGAACCCCTCGCCAATCGTCCCTGACTATCCCTTCCCCTCAACATATCCCCTGACTGAACCACACCCACCCCTTTGGAGGCACCTTCATTATGCCTTCTTTTGCACTCCTCAGAGGTCTGATTTGCATCTTCGCTCAGCCTAGTCTGCCTCTTACACAGGCCGTGACAACCACCCCCTTCCCCTGGATCCAGACTGCCCCTCAAACGGACTCGGAGAATGAGTTTAAATCTAGGGAGAAGAGAAGACAAGGCCCCAAGACAGAGAGGGATGTCGACCAGACCTGGGCCCTGCCACTTACCAGTTATGTGACTTTAGTCAAGTCACTTAACCTCTCTAAACCTTACTGTCCTCCTTGGTGGTGGTAAGGACTCACAGAGGTGAGATCACTGCGCCTACTACCATTCCTTCTAGAAGGATAGTGACAGAGGGAGACAAGGAGGATACTTACCTGCTTTGGGGGATGAGGGCCGGCTCCGCGGGTGGCTGTGGTCCTCTAGATCCTGTGTGTCCAAGTCTGCCGCCACATGGGTCTCCTCCAAGTCTCCCTGGGCCACTGTGTCTCCAGGGTGAGGGGGTTCCATAGCACAGCCATCACTTTCCAGGATACCCTGACACAGACACAGCTGTTAGCAGCTCCTGGCTCCCCTCTAAAATCCCCTCCCTCCCCCACACTGCTCCCCCTTCCGCAGGGCAGGGCCTTACCTTGGCCCCACTCTCCTCCAGTGGAATGGGGCCTGTCTGTGAGCTGTCAGTCTGCAAGATGGTCTCTGTGGTGGGGAAAAAGGCCCAGGAAAACACCCCCTACTGAACCTCCCACACAGCCCTCTGGCTCCCACAGGCCCCGACCAGGTGGGCAGAGGCAGGAAAAAGCCAGGATGGAATAAGGAAAGAAAGTTTTAAACTACGATTAACTGTGGAAATAAGACTTCCCTTAAGGAAAGTGGGAAACCCCAGGAGTTGGAGAAGAGGTAGTGACACCCCACACCAGCAGAACCGTTACCTTCTCCAACTAAGGCCCCAGCTAACTCTTCATCATCCTTCTTAGAGGGGCTGCAAGGGGGCCCTTTCTCAGATTCTGGGTCCATCCTGGATTCTGGACCCAGGGTCTCCACAGGCAGGTTCTGGGGGAGGGCACACAAATAGCAGTCCAGAGGAGAGTCGGCAAGATGAAACCAGGAGCAGGGGGTATTCGGCTGGAGACCCTGGGGCCAGCCACACTGCTCAGTGAGCCCAACCAAGACCTCACAAAATATGATACATTCCAAAAAACAGAGTCATACCACACCCCCATAAAATGAATGAATGAATTAATGAATAAATAAATAAATACATAATGTAGAAGTTAAAAAAAAAAAGACACATTCAGTAGTGAACGGATCCAAAGGGGGGGAGATGGGTATGTGGGGTGGGGGCATGAAGCTCATGGGTCAGCATCACAGCCCTGAGTAGTGCTTGGCCTTTCCTTAAGCCCACTCGCTGCCACAAGTAACTTTCAGAGGCCAGGTTTTTGTTAAAGGAAGCAGCACCACTGGATCAAGGCCGGGCCCCAGAAAACCTGGCACTGGCCCCTCCGGGGAGCCCAGAGTCTGGGTCCCCCTGGCCTCCAGGATCACCAGCACGTCTCTCCCTTCTTCCTCACAAATGACTGGTTACTGGTTGTGTGCTGGGTGGATGGCAAAAAAAAAAAAAAAGCAAAGGGCCCTGGATGCACAGGGTTCAGGCCATGGTCCCCAAAGGCTTTCTGCAGCGGTCCTGCCGGCCAGCCACCCCCTTTACTTACATCTTCCCAGCTTCACACTCCCCCACACACCCCTCCCAGGGGCTGCTCAAAGAAGCCCAGTGCCCCGGCCACAGTCAGTCTGCCTGCTACAGTGCCCTCAGCCTGGTGTCCTCCCTGATCTCGCATTTCTGCACACTCCCCTTGGCAGGCGCAGGCTGCTCTCCCCAGCCATGGCTCTCACCACCCCTACTCAAATAATTCTTGGCCCCAGTATGTTCCTTTGCAATTTTCAAATGACTTTTTTCTCATGGTCACCCCTACAAGGCAAGAATCACAAACCCCCTTCACAGGGGAAGACAGAGAGGTAAAATGCCTAGGGAAAGGTACACCAAGAGGAGGGATGGGCTCTGTCTGATAACATGGTGTCCCTTCTCTGCCAGCGAGCCCCAGGCCTGTTTCCTGCTCCAGTGTCATCCCTGAAGTCAGCTCCCTCTGAGTTCTTCAACTGAGTTCCTCAAGGGCACTCTTACCCAATTCCTGGTCTCCCTCCTCCTGGCAATTCTAATATACAAGTCACTGGACTGGGATCCCATGAAAAACTTTCTCCAGACACTCATCCCCCATCCTGCTGGCTCCCTTCTACTTAGTCAGTGGCTCAGGGGCACAGAAGCCCACTGGCTCCTGTCCCAGTAACTGCCACCTGCCGGGCAAGATCTTTGAAATCTACACCCTATTTCATTCAGTCCAAAGGGGCTTCTGCCCAAGGCAACGATTATCCTGACTCCCTCCAGCAAAGCCCTTCAGTAATTTCCCATCAGGATGAGACCTGAATGCATGGGCCAGTCCCTTCTAGGCCTCTTCTAGGGGTTCTGACACATATCTCTAATGGATCTCCTGTCTGTCTCCCCAAAAATGATTTTTCTTTTTTTTTTTAATTTTATTTTTGTATTTTTTTAAAGATTTATTTATTTATACAAGAACAGGGGTACAGGCCAGATGCGCGAGAAAGTGAAAGGATTCACCGGAGACAGAGCAGGAAACAGAACAGACAGATTGAAGAAATACACTGCTGAGGGGAGCAGCGGGCGAGACAGGAGAGGTCTGCCTCACCATGTGGGATTCTCGCCGGCTGGCCGAGATCAAACCCGTGCTGCAGAGGCTGCAGACAGCTTCACAGTGTGGCACTCAACCGCCTGTGCCACCAGGTAGGCCCCAAAAATGATTTTTCAATTGTAGCCTCAGGACTTTTTCTCATGCCCTACCAGAAAGTCTTCCCTAATTCCCACTGCTTATCCCAGTGGTACTTCTTTCAAGGTATGACCCAAACCCAAACACCTGACTCCAAGGGCCTCATGCTCTGCTGCTAGAGTTCTTCCACAGCCAGCAGGCAATGCAGGTCATCATCAGTACCGAGGAAGGGACAGACCCAAAAAAGCAGCCCAGCCTTCACATGTGTTTCCCAGGCCCACTTTTCCTACCTCAGAGCCGGCAAGCACCCAGCTATTGTCCGAGTCTGGGCAGGAGGCCATGGTTGCCGAGGTCACTGTGGCTGCTGTGGCTACCACCTGCAGAGAAAAAAGCTCTTGTAAGGCTCCCACTCCCCCAGGAGAGGCAGGATGCAGAGAGCAGCCTTGGCTATGTTCCAAGGCTTTAAGAGATCAGCAGCAGCCCCCAGAACCAGCCTGGTTCCAGTCCTATTGACCCTAACACTTCAACTATTTTGGGCAGTATTGGCCTTGCAAATCACAAGCTGCCAACCGCCAAAAAGAAACTTGCCTCTCCCAGGGACCAACAGGGCCTTGGGAAACAGAACTGACCTTGAAAGGTCAAAGAAGTGTAGGACTTAAAAGGATTTGGGAAAAATCCAGTCCAACTCTCACTCTGTCATGTTATAGCCAGGGAAAATAAAGCTCTGGAAGGTTGGCTGATTTGACTTGCCAAAGATCAACAGCTAGAAAGAGTGAGGAAAACAACGCAGCTCTCCCTTCACCATCCCATGCAGTGCCCTCCCACAATGTCCACCTCTTTCCTCCAGGCATGGAAGAGAAGATGCAACAGCCATCCCCCCAGCTGTAAGGCCTCGGTGACAGTCCAGGTCAGCATTCTAAACACTGGCTGTGCAGTGGACCCTTCGGGGCCCAGCTGTGGCATGGATGCTCTTTAAAACCTACCCATGAGTCTCATGTCTAGCCAGTGTAGGGATCCACCGACACAGCTTAGACAGGTCTTCTGAATAAACCCTTAGATCTCCTGCTCACTCACATTCTCCATTCTAAATCCATTTCCCCTCTCAGTGGTCTCAGGCGTTTCATCTAGGAAACTTGGAGGTGACTAGGGAAAAAGACTTCTGGCAACTATCGTGTATAAAGCAGTTTTCAAAGCATGAATAAAAATCACTTTACAGTCTGTAAATCCAGCACATAAATCCCAGCAGTGGTCCTGGCCCCCGCTAATCTGCTCTGGCCTGGCAGGGTGACCTGGGAAGTCACTCAGCTTCCAAATCCTGACAGCAAGGTAGAAAGAGAGGCACTTGCCCCTTCATTTCAAGGCCAAGACAGCTTCCTTAGGCGGGTCACTTGAGATCTGGCTTAAAGTGGAGGGAGAGACAGCTCTTGGGTGATCGTGTGGAAAAGGCATTGATATGGAAACTCTAAAGGGAACAAATGTAGCAGCCCTACCCCGGGAAGCCACCACGCTGCCTCCTTCTGTTTGGTTGGTAGGAGGCCTGCACAGAGCCCTAATAACCTCCTGTGGCCCTTGCCAATCAAGATCCAAGCCCTAAACAGATGAAGGACATCCCCTGGTGTCTTTCCAAATGCCATGCCCCCAGACTCAGGCCCACATTCCACAGGGAGACAGTAGGCTGGCTGCAGTGACTTTCCACACCAAGTACAACAGGGACACCCCTGGTGGCTAGAAGAGGCATCCATAGAGCCATCGTGATGCACTGCCCATCTGTTCTCAGTCCCCTCCCCCACGTTGTCATCATCCCTCCATCCCCAGTTGCTGCGTGTGACTGTTAACAGGTGGTGGCAGGAAGGAAGTGGTGGCAGCTTGAGCTGAAGTCCCTGTTTATCCCTGGCTGTGTACAGCCTGCTCAGGTCCTCCAGCACCAGGCACCATGGCAACCAGGGTGATGTCAGACCCACTGTCTCCATGGAAACCCAGCAACGGTATTTGGGTCAACAAGACAAACACTTCTGAGACCCAAACAGGAGACAGTCTGGAATCCCCGCAGGTCCCAAGCCCTGATCCCTCTCTCTTGGCTGGGGTCATCCAAGATTACAAAAAGATATCCCAGTTCTCCCAAGCCAGCATCTTGCTGCCTTATTAGGAAGTTCCTTCTACTGTCTTATCTCCACCCTTTACCCCACGCTGTGTTTTCAGATCTCCTCCTTCTCATCGACCTCTTGAAAGAAAACGCACCTCCACCCCCTCCCCACTACCCCCTCTCTTTTCACTCTGGCAGGATTCAACAAAAACATCCTTTAAGGATTGGCAGGGACTTCTGCTATTTCTAAAAGACAGCCAAAGAGGGAGCTCTCCCACTATGTACAAAGCTAGGAAGCCTCATCTCGCTCATTTCAACTCCTCTAACAGTTGCTCCCCCAAACGTTTAAAAGCTGCAGGACCTAGGGCCCCAAGACCTTGGCTGGGGACCCACAGCAAGTTCCTGTTTTGGCCTTTGGAGAAGGCCGCCTTTCGCGGGGCGCCCCTTCCCCGGACCCGACAGTGGCCTGCAGGTCTGTAGATTCCGGCTGGAGCCCAACCCCGCGAGTTCGAGCCTTCCTCTCCTTCATCCTCCCTCTCACGCGGGAGCTCCGGGCCCTCTCCCAGCTAGAGCATTACCTGACCCAGCTCTCGCTTCAGTCTTCAGCTGAACTTGTTGCTGCCTCCGCTGGTCAGCAGCCCAAGAAAAGAAGGAGGGTCATGTGACCGGATATTGGCCAATGAAAAGTCAAGTTTCCTGAGGGGGCGGAAACTTTTGGCCAATAAGAGCTGACATTGAGCGCCCGGGAGGGCGAGGGGACCTCCTCAAGCCCCAGCCCCGGCTTACCTCCCCCTGGGAGGCTAGGGTTCCAGCAAACCGAATTTTGGGTGACCTGCCCTCCTTTCCCAACGTCTGCAGGTTTTAGAGAGAAAACCTGAAACTGAAGGCCAAGAGTGGAATCTCCAGAGACGGGGACAAGGGACCAGGTCGGCCCTTGGACAGACAGAGACAGCTGCAGAAGGGGGGAGGGGAGGACGAGTGGCAAATTGTGTGCCACTCTCCACCCCACCCCAGCGCAGTTGTAGATGCCACTGTCACTTTAAAAAGAAAGGGCACAGGGGCTCTGCACGGCGTCTGAGAGGAAGTCAACTAAAGGGGCAGGCCCTCCCCACCCTAGGGGCTGCTGAGACCCCTAACCCAAACCAACCTCCACCCAACAGGGGAGGGGGCCACTGCTAAACCCATAACCACTCTGGCAACTTGTCTCCCTGAGGCCTTGGAGCCAAAGCTCCCACTTGGCAGGTAAGAAAACTTTCTTACAGCTGGGACACAGGGTAGCTGGAGCACAGTGACTCCCAGGGCTCAGCGGCTCCCTTCAGAATCTACTCTAAATCTGCCCTTCCACTTACAGATCCTGGGGGTGTATACATATTCCCACCACCAGCAAGCCCAAGTATCTTCCCAGGGTGACAGGTTCATTCCAAATGTTATGTATATGAAGAGCAAGGAGTCCTTGTTTGTATTTTCAAGTAATTTTATTAATCCAACCGTACAAAAAGACCCCCCCACACCACCTTTCTGTGGCCCTTGTTTTCTTCCAAAAAGTAGTAGAGAGGGATTGAGCGGACACTTCCCCATCAGCCATTTTACAAAACTTGGAGGGGGAAACACACAATAATAGCAACAGATAAAAGAAGGGCAAACAAAACCACAAACACAACACAAGGTTGAGCGGGGCAGTGCTGTCTCCGCTATGCTATTTTTCTGTGGGGCCCTGTTAGAGAAACCCCAAGGCCCACTCCTTTCTTTCACATGGCCTCAGGGCTGCTGGCTCCACCTGGGCAGGTAAAGGAGTTCTGCAGTACACCTATCTTCTCCTCACACAGGGTCTGGGGAGGTGGGGGCAGGGGACCACCAGCTCCTCTCAGACCACCAGCCTGGCAAGGTCCCCCACCCCACTGAGGAATGTGTGCATGAGCAGACAGCAGCCTCCATACCAGAGGCTCCTCGTCAGGCCTATCTCTGGCAGACAGTGCATAAAAATAAAATGCCTGGGCACTGGCTGAGGAAGAAATGCTAGATCACCAGACCGAGAGTACGTAACAGCACAGAGGAGCAGAGTCTCCTGCTCTGGATTGAGATTGCGTGTTAGTACCAGGGGCCCACCCCACCCCTCCCCGCCCCCAGCCTGTGACAGGACCTCACTGGGATCCTTTTATCAGGAGAAAAAACGAGGTATAAGGGCTTTGCCCTTTCTCAAGCTTTCCTCCCATCAAGCCAGAGAGGCAGGGGAATAAGGGTGCACCAAAAGTTGAAGACCAGTGCTGAGAATAATGTGCAACAGATGGGAAAGATGGGGGCAGGTAACACAGCCAGAGTCCAGGCTTCCACCACAGGCCAATCTTCAAAGATTCTGGTCTGTCAGACCACATATCCCAATTTTTGGCAAAAACATGGTCATCGGGAGACAAGCACAAGAGAGGCTGAGAACAGACCAGTGACTTTGGTATGAGGGAGATATGTCCTGACAGCACCTTTTACCTACTGTCTTGAAGCCCCAAATCACCAAGAAACTGCCATAGCCAAGAACTCTCCTGCTTCAAGCTATTTGGTTCTCTGAGAGGGGAGAGTTAGGTAGGTCTTGGAGGAGGCAAGGAGAACATTGGCAAAGGGAAATATCCCCAATTATTCCCTAAAGCAGTCTCCCAGAGCCCAGGAAGGGCTACTGGAAGGATGGGAAGAGACCCCAACTCCTTCGACTAGAAATTTTAACACTTGACTCCAAAAACTAAGGCTGGAGCTGTGGGGCTAGGTAGGAGCTTTAGGCACAGGTAGTGGGGCATTGGGCATCTGCAGAGGAGACACCTCTGGCTAGCCACATCTTCCTCCAGCCTCTTTCATTTGCAGTCATGCCCCCTAGGCCTCCAGAGAGCCACAAAAAAAATGGCTCTACTCGGCAGGACTTTGGTTTCCTGGATCTCTGGAGATCTCAACAGGTAAGTTTCCAGAAAAGTGAGCAATCCAGGCTCTTCTGCCTGCCCACCTCCTTTTGTCCCCAAGAGTCCTCATGTTTCTATCCCCATGGGGATGGGAAGCCAGTGGAAACAAGGACCAAGAGCCAGACATGGAAACAATCACCCTGGAAGAGCAGGGAGGGACATGTGCACTTCCCTGGGCCACTTCCCCAGTATCACCCATCGTTAGCAGCCACCAGCTGCCCCATGCCCTCTCGGATATAGACGGACTGGATCTCCTTGGTCTTGAGGCACAGGTCGCAGGCCCAGACGGCAGAAGCCTCGGTGGTCAGCAGTCCGTAGGCGCTCTCGGTCATGCCCGTGCACTCGCGGTGGAACCACTTCTGGCAAGAGGCCTCGCACAGAATGGCGTCCTGGTCATCGTTCACCTCACTCCGACAGGCACCACATGGGTACACCAGGCCTGGTGGGGGCTGGGGCCCTGAGCCCCCACCTGCTTTGCCAGGAGGCGCCAGGCTATTGCCATCTGGAGTGCCCCCACCCCGCCCACTGCTGTTCGGAGGAAAACTGGGCTGATTCCCATTAACAGCAGCAGCCGGGGAGCCTGAGTGGGGCTCCTGGGGAAAAGCAGTGGGCGCAGGTGGATTCAAGGGCTTCCCTCCATCCTCACCACCAGGTCCAGGGAAGCCAGGGTCAGGACCAGGGAAGGGACTGGTGTTGGGGGGCAGGCTGGGGAGCCCCTGCCCAGGTCTCTGGAGAGGAGAAGGTCCAAAAGGCGCCCCTGGCTGAGCAAAGCGTTGGGGGAGAGTAGGTGGGCCCAGCTCCCCTCTGGGAGGTTGTCCCATGGTGGGTGAAATTATGGGGCCAAATCCCCCCACCGGGCCAGGCATCATCTGCCCACCAGGAGGACTAAAGTTTTGACCCAGAGGCTGGTTAAAGGGTTGGCTGGGAAAGTTCATGTTGCCTGGTGGTGGGTAGCCAGGACCCTGGGGGGGCATGTTGAAAGCAGGGCCCATAGGGTTAGGAGGGAAAGGAGGGGGTTGCCGACGAAGAGGCTGGGGGCCCCCGCCACCCCCAGTGCCATAGCCTGGGGGTACCTGGCCTGCCATGCCCCCTTGTACACGGAAGCCTCCAAAGGGTACAGGACTGCCAAGAAATGGAGGGGTTGCGCCCCCCACCTTAGGTGCTCCGAAGTCATCCTCAAAAGGATTGGATGCTACCAGGTGATCCACCATGGGAGTTGGGGGTGGTGCAAACTCCGTCAGATGTGAGTACGCAGGGCCCTAGTGAGGGACAGATGAGAGAAAATGGATCATGGAGGGGGAGCAGAGCTAACCCAAGAGAGCACCAGAGACATAACACACATTTTAGAGGCTGGTACTGGCTGGCTCAGAACTAAATCCAGATGGCCTTTAGAAAGCAATAAAGAAGATGGAGAGGGCCTCCCCTGGTGGCGCAGGCGGTTGAGCGCAGCGCTGTGAAGCTGTGCACAGCCTCTGCAGCACCGGTTCAATCCCAGCAGACGGGAGAGAATCCTATATGGCACAGCAGACCTCTCCTGTCTCGCCCGCTGCTCCCCTCAGCAGTGTATTTCAGTCAATCTGCCTGTTCTGCTCCCCACTCTGTCTCTAGTGAATCCTCTCACCCTCCCACACATCTGGCCTGTACCACATTCTTGTATACATGATCTTTTTTTAAAAAAAAGATTTATTTATTTATTTATACAAGCACTGGGTACAGTCAGAAGCACAGAAGGGTAAAAGAATTCACCAAGCCAGAGGGGAGAGCAGAGCAGGCAGACTGACGAAGTACACTGCTGAGGGGAGCAGCGGGCGGCAGAAGAGGTCTGCGCGCCATGTGGGACCCTTGCCCAGCAGCCAGGAATCGAACTGGCGCTGCAGAGGCTGCAGGCAGCTTCGCAACCCAGCAGCCACCGGGGAGGCCCATGAATAAATAAACTTAAAAAAAAAAAAAAATTCAGAGAACCAGCAGAGTGCACTAATTCTGCAGCATTTTGAAAATAGGCAGAACTACAGTAACAATGAATAACCTCAAACCCCCACAGTAGAGATTTTGTTGATTTTACACCTGTTTTCTCAGCAGTAAAACAGGGACAACACCTATCTCCCGACACCCTTAAAGCACTTTAGCACAATCCCTGGCACTCAGAAAAGACTAAATGATCAGTGTTATCATTATGAGGCACCCAGGGAAGAAAAATAAGGAAGATTATAAATTTGACTGATAAGATCGTTCATCAAAGTCCAAAATAAACTAGGGGGGAAAGGGAACAAGATTTTTGGTGAAGTCCTCTCATCCCCTCCTCCCCATCCCACAATTAGTTGTGAGGCTGAAGGCAAAGACCAGAAACAGAGCCTTGCAGACAATTAGCTTCCTCTCCTCCCAGCATCTCATGGGGTGGCAAGAGTGGGGAGCACCCAGGGGCTGCTAGGAATCCCGCCACCACCACTACCACCACCACTCACCTGAGTATTTGACTTCCTTCGCTTCTTTTCTGGGCTCTTCATTTGCAGACCTGGAAGAGCAGCAAAAGGCAGACACAGACAGATTTCCCTGAGGATTCCCCAACTGCCTTTCTCCCAGCCATGGTCTCTAAGGCATTCTTCTAACTTCAATATGCATTTGCTTACTTCTAACTTCAACATGCAGTTGCTTAACGAATACTAACGAAGTTGTAAGGTGACAAAGTGCACGACCAAAGTGCAGCTACCTCTTCCTTTAAACGAGAGACACACTTCTCCTGACACCCTCAGGCTCCCAAGCGACTCCAGAACCCCAGGTGCCTGCAAACCCTAGCGTCCTCAACCTGTGACACCTGCCCCCGACCCCTGGGGGGGCTTCACCCCGCCATCCTTTTCACCTGAACCTCCCAACCTCCCAACAGGCCCCTCAGCCTAAGGATCCCCGCCCGCTCGCCCCACCCGCCAACCGTCTCTCCGAGGTCCCCCAGTGCTGGGCCTCTCCGGCCCCCAGCCCTCGCAGTGCGCTCACCGGCCTTGCCCTGCTTCCTCCCGGTGCTGGGCGGCGCAGGGGGCGGTGCGGGGCCGCCACCTCCCTCCAGCTTGTCCGGTGGGGGCGGCGCCGAAGCGGCCATGGAGTGGAGGACCCGGGTCAGCGGCGGCGGGGGACGGGCGCTCCCTCGGGTTGCACCATCGCCAGGCAGGGGGATCGGGGGCGGCGCAGGCCCCCGCGCTGCAGCAGCCCCAGGGTGCGGCGAGAGGGAGGTGCCGAGCCGAGCACCAACAGCGCGCTCGCGCCAGCCTCAGCGCCCGCCAGCCCGCCCGGGGCGGCAGCGACCGGAACCGGAACTCGGCCCGGCCGCTCCACTGAGCGCGACGCGGAGGGGAGCGAGGACTGGAGGGGTCGCAGCCGCCCTGGCCCCGCGAGGGGTGCGGGGCGAGCCGGACCGCCGCCCCGCGCTGGGGCAGAAGGCCCTTCGTGCGGGAGAGCTGCTGGTACCAGCCCTCGTAGGGCGGCGGGAGCCCCGACCCCGGACCGTACCATCCCCACCCAGGGACAGACGTGGAGGGGCGCGCGCGGAATGGGGCGCGCGCCCGCGAGGCCGGGAGCCAGGGGTTCGGTAGCGGACGGCTGGGCCTGGGCCCCGCCCGGCCCCCTCTGTAGATACGGTCATCCCAACAGGAAGATGGCCCGAGCGCCCCACCCGGCCTCGCGGCCCCCGCCAATGCCCCAGCTGGCTCCCCCCCGCCCCCCCCCGCTGCCGCCCGCCCGAACCAGACCTGAGCGAGGCCAGGTGCGTCCGGCCGCCCTAGACGGAGGGCCCGCGGGGAACAATAGGCAGCGACCAGGACTAAGAGGCCGAGGTAGAAGAAATATGAACTTTAATGAAGATTATTTCCCTTTGGTATAAGTGAGACCCGTGAAAACATTGAAACAAAAAAAAAAAAAGGGCAGACAAGGATTAAGACAGTCAACTCTCCCTTATCCATACGGCCTAAGGACAGAGTAGGGCCGGCTCCTCTGTCGCTGTGGCCACCTCAGACCTAGCACAGGTCTTGCCCCAAACAAAGTATTCAGCAACTGCAGGTCTCTTGCTTCCCCCGAGTGAAACTAACAAGCATTCAGCAAAATTGTCTCCCCAACATCAGGCCCAAGGTTTTCTAGCCTAGCTCATAATCAGCTTCTCTTGACCTCAGGTCTCTTGTAGAAGATAATGCTGCCAGACCCAACTGCCTCAAAGGCTGGAGTGAGGAAAATGCCAGGAGTTGTAAAATGGCTTTGAAAAATCAAAAAGGTGATGTATAAATGAAATCAACTATTACCATTTTGTGCTCAAGAATAAGCCATGGAAAACAAATTAGGAAAGTCAATCTATAGCCCTAAAACATACACATATAAAACAATAAATGCAATTCCAAATCTACTGATGGTATCTGGGGATTGTCTACTGCTGCAGAGTCTCAAGGCCCCGTTCCAGCCACCACAAAATCCACCTGGGGATTAACAGTTCAGGAGGCCCCCAGTGTAGTCACACACACACACCCCCCCCCAGCACCCCAGCAGGGGGAGGCAGGATGGAGCTACAAAGGGCTGCACTTTGGCTGTAGAGTATAACATGCATGCAACGTGGGAGGGGTAGGGCTTATGAAATGTATATACAGACCCCTTGGGTGAGGGGTCCCGGCCAGGAGGCACTGAGCAAGAAAGGGGGTCCATCTCCCCCCTGGCCGGAAGGGGGGCTCCAAGGCAGTCTCTAAAGATTGCATATCCCTAGAGAGAAGGAACAGCTGCCACTCCTGCCTTTGTTCTTCCAACCTAAACTGGAGGGGGTGCTGAACAAGGAGAGGACAGGGTCCCAGAAGCCAAGAAGGCATCAGCACCCCGATCCTTGACCTCAGGGGCCTGAGAACTCTTTGCATAAAATATCTTCAGACCTAGGAGATGGTCAAAGGCACAAAGTTTAAACACTGGGAGGGAGGATTGTTGAGAGGAGTCTGGGGTACCCTGAGCCCAGGGGTCGACCCATGGTATAATTCGTTCCCCCTCCCCTGGAAGGACAACTGTTCACTGGGTCTATCATCACAGGACATTTTCCACTGCAAGAAGGCACCCTGCCCAGGCCTTAAGCACCCACCTTCTGGGGGAAGGAGGTATCATGTTGGCACAGGAAAGACCCAGGGAAGGGGGCCACTCTCTGCATTAATACTTTGGTGAGGTTTGGGGAGAAGCAGACTCCTACCCCAGACACCTGATTCAAACCCTCTCAGCTGGATGGTGAAAACACTGTGTCCACACTACTCCCCCAGCAACTACACAAGACCACGCCACAACACCCCCCACCCCAGGGAGGTCCTGAGTGAGAAACAGGCAGAGAGGTGGAAGGGCATCTTCTGGGAGAGGTCACAGTTTCCGCTCCACAGGCTGCTGTAGACATAGTTCGCTGCCCGCAGAGATGATGGGCAAGTGATTGTCCATGTGGTAGCTGATGAGGTGACTGACACTCTCAAAGCGATGATCCTTAGTCCGAACCTAGAAAGTAAGAAGAGAGAGGGACATTCAGGTGAAGAGTCAAATAAGACCTCTGCCCCCAAGGTCGAAAAACCTGGACCATTCAGAAGGGTTGAAGAAGGAGGAAAAGACATCAGAGTAGAAGGCTATCTGTCCTAACCCAGGCTTCCCTACTCTGAGAAGTCAGAGTCGCCATGGGGATGGGCAGGTAAGTGAGCTGGGAAAAAGCAGAGGATTCACCCCACAAATCATGACGCTCAGGAACCTCTACTCCCTTGACTTGGAAGGAGGCAGCATGTCTCGGAGGGGGTCACAAAGTGCAAAAAAGATTTGGAAGGGAAGCTGAGACTGCTGCAGAGAAGAGCCCAAAGTGATGAGAGACAGTGAGGCAGTACAGAGGAGAAAGGCCACAGTGCTGAGTGCTGTGTCTAGAGGGGCTGGGGAGCCTAGGTTGCTCCTCTAGGAGAGATTTGGAGTTTCTAGCCTCTGTTCAAGCATCTGACTCACACTGAGCATCACCTCTCTCCAAAACCATTTCCTCCACTGCCATCACTTCTGAACACCTCTTGCTCTGCTGGAAATTAAGATCTGGGGATTTGAGGACTAGATAGAACTGAAGAGAACACAGCTCAGGCTCAGGGGTGTAAGACGCACCCCACATCACTGGAGAGGGATGCAGAGAAGGAAAGGCTTCAATGGCAGTGCCTGGCGAGAAGATCTAGTGAGCAATGAGGGAAGAGGGATGCTGCACTTCCTCTCTGCCACTCCTACCCAAAACCCTGCCACACTCACCACACCCTCAGGGTCCACCAGGAGCAGGTGCTTGGGCTGCCCACTCTGCAAGCCGGTGAGCACGTACTGGCAGGGCGTGGTCGTGCTTTCCCGCACCAGGAAGTCCCCATTGAGCTGCAGCAGGGCCTCCGCCTCTCGCCGGCTCAGCTTCCCATGGAACCAGGGCTCACCTCGGAGCTGCTCAGCCATGGCCACCGACTGTGCAGGTGGAGGTACCCGAAGGGCATCTTCAAAGGGCTCTAGGGGTACAGAGAGGGGGCTAGGAGAGGCAGCTGGCACAACACATGCCCAAGACCCAGGCCTTCAGGGAGGGGAGGCCAACAAGGAAAGAACAGGAAGGCAGGACAAGAGAAGCCAAGGGGGAAGACAGATGCAGGAAGGAGAGAGGAGCACTCACTCATGTCAAACAGGTCTCGGGGTGCACTGCCATTGATGGCAGGATTGGCGGGCCCAGCCCCAGCTTGCCGGGCCTTGTCTAGGTTCTGGACGTTGACATAGGAGGGGTCATCAAAGAGCTCTCTGCCTGCTGAGGAAAGGGAAGCTTTACAGTGACCCCAGGCCTGCTTCCTGGACTGGACTCCCCCTTTTCAGTTCCCTTCATACCTGGGCAGGGTAGCGGAGGTGGCACCTGTTTGCGAACTTCTGGGTCTCCTCCAACAGGCTGCCCCACAGGCTGCAGGGACAAAAACAAGGTGAAACCAGAAACCCTAACCAGACATTACCAACCCGGGCCCAGCCTCCCTCCATCCCAACAACTTACCAATGTGGCTCCTAGGTGGTTGGCTGTCTGGGCATTGGGCGGAGTGGGTCGAGCAGCCCCCAGGGGGGTCCCTTCCCGAAGCCTCATGTCCACCACCCCGCCAAGAGGGGGTTCCTTCCCCGGGAAGTCATTATAGTACTGGTGGTCAGGTGGCTCTTCCTCCTCCTCATCCCAAGCTGAGCCATCAAAGCCAGCCATCCTGAGAGGGACAAGAGAGTGAGGAAAGAGGTGGGGGGAGGGAGGGGCACAGAACAGTGGTCGTGTATTGGGGGTTTCCTACAGGCGAAGCTGAGGCTGGTGTTTTATATACACAAATCACTTCATCCTGGCAAGCCTGTCAGGTAGGTATCCACTCTTTGCCCAATCTTTTTTTTTTTTTAATTTATTTATTTATGCATACAAGAACTGGGGTACAGGCCAGAGGTGTGGGTTGGGGGTGAGAGGATTCACCAGAGACAGAGTGGGGAGCAGAACAGGCAGACTGACTGAAATACACTGATAAGGGGAGCAGCGGGTGAGTCAGGAGAAGTCTGCTGTGCCATGTAGGTAGCTCCCTGGCCGGGGATCAAACTCATGCTTCAGTGGCTACGGATTGCTTCATAGGTTGCATCTTAACCCTTTGCACCACCAGGGAGGCCCCCTTCCCCAATCTTATAGATGGGAGTCAGAGATGAAAAGACTGGCCCAAGATTTCACAGTAAAAAGGAGGTGGAGCTGACATGTAAATTGAGATTTGACTTTAAAGTTGATGGCCTCCATCACTAAACTGTACCCTAAGAGAGAGGGAAAGCACTAAGTGACTGGGAAGATGGTGCTCTGGGATATCTGAACCTCCTGTAAATGCTCAGTACCTACTGGTCTGAGGTGGGAAAAGTAGGCATCTAAGGAAAGACATCCTCCCTCACCCAAGTTCGTGATGGCTTGCAGGGGCAGGAAAATGAAGAGCAAAGGATGGAGAAATTGGAATAGGCTAGGAAAAAAAGTGGAATAGGCTAAAAAAAAGAGATGGCGAGGAACAAGAAATGCAGCCAGTCAGGGAAGAGCTGAGGAATGGGGGACCAGAACGATAGGTCCCGCACAAACAAGAGGAAGAGTGGGCTCTGAAACAGGCAGGGCCTCAAACAACTTTGTAATGGTCACAGGAAATTTAAGAATAGCAGGAAGCAGGAAGCAGGGGCACACAGGTCATTTTCTTCCCTCAACTTCTCTGAGTTCAAGTGTGGGAAGAACAGAGCTACTTTCCCAATTCCTGTCCAGGGCACAAGAGCTGCTCACACTCTCCTCAGCCACTCACCTGTCATGGGGGGTGACCAGCTTGGGCGGGTTCCTGAGGTATTGTTTGAAACGCAACTCGAAGGCCTGGCCAATGGTGCTGATGACGTCCTGGGCAAGCCCTTCGGGACACTCCAGGATGTGGCAGGCTGGGGGCACAGCAGAGGATGTCAGTGATCTCTGAGTGGGGCTTGCTGGGGGGCGGTGTGAACAGGGGCCCTCGTCCTCCGCAGCAGGAGCCCCTGCTTAGCTCCCAGAGTCCTGGCTCACCTGCCTCACAGACAGTCGGCCCCACCCTGTGCTCCCCACCACGCCTCACCTCTCTGATTCACCGGGTCTTTGGCAACATAGGCGACATACTCAGCTGTGTCCTGGGATGGACAGAGTCAGAAGAGGCTAATTAGCTCAATTTTATAGCCCTGCCCCTAACCTTTTCAGATATCACCTCAATCCTAGCACACCCACTTCTCTAGCTAGTGACTTTCCAATCCTCTAGCCCCTTACTCTCCCTTCCCACTATCTCTGCTCTGTTCCCCAACTCACCGGGTCCCCGCCGGACGCAAAGGAGATAGATTGCATGTGGTGGTTGGCGATGATCTGAGGGTGAAATGGGTCAGAGAAGGGAGGGAATTAAACATGTGTCGGGCAGCCTGAGGGTGCCATCCGAGTGCCCCCCACCCCTAGCCCAGGGCAGCAGAGCCCCAGTCTTCTCCTTTTGGCTTCGTCCCCCATGTCCTCCTGATTTCCTCCTTCCCTCCTGTCCTGCTGCACCCAAGTCCTCTCTGCTAGTTTATTGTCCTCAACCTTGTGCCCACTTGGCCCTCCCATCAGTGTTTCTGGTCCCCCTGCCCAGCCCCACCAACCTGTTTGCAGTCTGCGGCCATGAGGTTGAGGCTGCTGGTGGAGACAGTGAGAGTGATTGGCATTCCAGCAAATTTCAGGTTACTCCTCCCCAGAATGGAGCTGAGTGGACGGCTACAGGGCTAGGGAAGAGCCCAAGGGTCTCAGAAGCTGGGTTCCCAACACTGGGCACCCACCACACTCCTGACTTCTGGCCTTCTTCCCACATGCCCCAGGCTTGCCTTCCCCCTGCTCCTCCACATCTCCCAGCAGCAGCCCTGGCCCCATGGACCCCGGGTACCTTTCTCCTCCTTGTCGCCCCCTTAGCACCCGGCACAGCCTCACACACCAGGCTGATGGCCTCCCTGAGGAAAGAGGAGTATTCAGGCCCATAGCCTACCTCCCACTCAGCTGGGGGAGGGGAAGGCCAGGCCAGACACGCGGGGTACTCCATGCTCTTTGTCATGGTGGATTGAATTAAGGGCCTTTAATATTTGATGACACTGAGAGGCCGCTTCCTGGCTGATTGGGTTAGAGCCTCAATGGGTATGGCCCCACCCCCTTCTAACTACCAAATGTCCCATTCCCTTCCCAAAGGCAGCAGCAACCTCCCATCTACCCCATTTTCTACTCAAGCTCTAGCCACCAGCTGCCTCTGCCACCTCCCCCACAGCTCTCAAGGCTGGATAAGTAAGGAGGCTCCAGGTCAGAGCTGCTTCTTTTCATTCAGACTTAGACCTTCTCCCCAAACTTTCTTTCAGTCCCCTTCACCACCCAAAGATAAGCTCTCACTAGCACTACCACCATCCAGCTGCCCTGCCTCCACTCATTAATGCCAGGGCTGCCACCCTCCGCCCCCCACTAACCTGGTGACCTGTGTCCGGGTGTTGAAGTCCAGGGCACGCATTGACTGCAGGACCTCCACACAGCCCATGTACTGTGGGGACAAATGGAAGGGTAACCAGTCAGCTGCCTTCCCACAGCCCCTTCTCAAAGGGCCCCTGGAGTTCCCCCTGCATGGTCCCTAAGGGAAATAAGAAGAAAGCTCTCCCCACTGCCGTGCTACCTCCCACAAGGTACAATAGGGAACAGGAGAGAAGGAAAGGGCAAGCAAGGAGGAGGACCTCATGCACTAGGGAGAAGGCAGAGGGGATTGAAAGGCATGGAGTGGCATGAAGTGACATCCCCAGAAAGGGGCAGGAGACGGAGACTTGCGGGAGCCTGCGCGTGTGCATGTGCGCGTGTGTGCATGTGTGTGTGTGAAGAGTCACTCATTCCCGTGTGTGTGTGTGTGTGTGTGCGCGTGCGCGCGCGCGTGTGTGTGTGTGTGTGTGTGTGTGTGAAGAGTCACTCATTCCCACATTTCCTAAGGGCTGCTGTGCTGGGCATTGTGCTACTAAGCAAGGCAGGGTGGGGGCAGGGAGCCACAAGGAGGGAAGGGCCCCAGGAAGAGCTCCAAAGGAAGGGGCCACAGACCCAGGGGCAAGGAAAGGTTTAAGAAACAAGCTGCTGAAACCAAGTGAGCTGCTGGGGAAGAGCAGGAGAGAAGAACCCAGCATCTCTGGAGCAGCAGAGGCGCTAGGGGATCTGGGAGAGAGCAGGAGGGAAGACGTTCACTCACCCGAACCAAGTAGGAAACCCCAGGTCCCATGACTTTGTCGTTGGGATGCAGCCAGCCCCGCGTGGGCTTATTGACAAAGCTCCCGTGGCGGGTCCACTCCTCGCCCCCCAGTTGGCCCCCTTCCACCCGAGTCCTGCGCCCGCCGCCTCCACTCAGCTTGTTCATGTCCTGGAGGAGGGGCAGGGGGCCTGAGTCCGGCATGGCTGCTCCCAGGATCCCCTCCCCATCCTCGGCTGCCCTTCCTGGCTCCCCTTTCGGGCCTGGGCGCCCCCCAGCAGGGTTGGCTAGCTTCAGGTTGCTCATCCGGGGGAAGAAGGAGCACAAGGTGGTGGGACTGTCGTCCCCAGGCAGAGGTGGTAGGATGGGCCCCAGGGATGAGGCTGAGGGGGAAGGTAGCTCCTCCGGTGGAGTAGACCCTGAAGCCCCCTCCTCCAGCGAAGACAGAGACTCATTCCGGAGTGGGTTGTACTTGGGCTTGGGGGGCAGGAGATCCATGGCTGGAGTGAGAAGGAGGTTGCTGCCCAGCCTGGCCCCCCTGCCAGCGTGAGGGCAAGGGGGCCAGGCAGGGGGCATCCCCAGGCCCTTAGCCTAATCTGACCGCCAAGGCCCAGGAATCTCAGGGGTTCTGGGGAGGGAGCGGGACAAGTGGTTCCCACTCCCTCAGCTCAGGCCCAGACAGTTTCAGGACCCATCCCTGCCCAGCCCAGCGTGGAGCCTCTTCTCTGGCTGAGAGGAGAACAGGCAGGACTAGAGCTGCCTGGCTCCTCCCCAGGGGCGGGGAGCGAAAGGCAGAGACCAATGGTGAGGACAGTGCTGACTCACAGGCTCTGAGGGGCTGAGCCTCCCCCTCTGCCCCAACACAGAACTCTAGCAGGGGTGGAGCCAATCCATGCCCCCCACCCCAAAATAAACAGCTAGTGATCCAGGAAGGAGTAAAGTGGGGGTGGGAGGGACGGACAGAAATGGGAAGGAAAGGAGGGTGATAAGAGAAGGACTGGATCAATCCAAACCGGATATGGGCAGGCCAAAGGGAGCAGGAAGCTGAAGGAGGGTAGGGGGGAATAAGGGAGGAAACAGAGGCAGCTGGGGATGGAAAAGGGAGGAGGCTCCCTGAGCTCTGCATTTCCCTTCCAGTCTGAGTTAAATACTCAAATTCCCCCATTCTCCGGCCCAGCCACCACACCCCCACTACCAAACGGTGGGGTGGTGGCCCCAGGGAGCCCGGGCCATTAGCATCCTCAGCTACAACAGCTGTGGACTAGAGCTAAAGAAATGGGTAAAAGAAGTGGTCCCAGTGGATGCAGAGAAAAGCCAAAGAAAAAGCTGGTGAAGTAAGGGGGATACAGTCCAACCTGGGTGGCGCCTCAGGGAGCCCTCAGGCAGAAGCTGAAGCTGCAGAAGCCTTATCTCTACACATGGCATCAGCCACACCAAGGAACAATGGATATGGCCAAGCACTGTCTGTCCCCCTGTCCATGGGCCTAGTTAGCAAAGTAAGCTGTCAGGGGTAGAAATGGAGTCAGGATGCTAATACTAAATCAGTTCTTTGGCTCTGCCAAGTATGCTCAGACCCCCTCCTCTTGCTGAGTGACTGGGGAGGGTGCAGTGGCCACCACAGAGCACACAAGGGGTGGAATGTGGCTAGAGGAGGGGGGAGAGTGAAATAGTTTTCCCAGAGAAGTGAAGGATACAGGCCATGAAAAACTAGAGGAGGTAGGAGACAAATCCATGTGAAGTACAGGAAAAAGGGGTGCCAGAAGATGGAATGAGGCTGGACATAGGGTACAGTTCCAAACCCATTCCTTCTACCCACAGCTTCCTGCCACAGTTCTCCTTGATAAAGCCATAGAAGATATAAGAAAGTGACCACAAAGAAGTTGTAAAATACATACATACATCCCCACACACACCTAGGAATTACCCTATCCTTAGATTTACCCTACTCTTCAGAGATTAAGAGACGCAAATAACCATGACTACAATGATTAACAAACAACAAGCACTTGGGGCCTCCCTGGTGATGGCAAGGGGTTAAGTCTCAGCAGCCAGTGAGCTAGGAGCTAACCCACATGGCACAGCAGACCTCTCCTGTCTCACCTGCTGCTCCCCTCAGCAGTGTATTTCAGTCTACCTGTTCTGCTCCCCACTCTGTCTCTGGTGAATCCTCTCACCATGCCCCCCATACACCTCTGTCCTACACCCCAATCTTGTATGCATAAATAAATAAAATAAATCTTTAAAAAAAAAACAAGGGCCTCCCCTGGTGGTGCAGCTGTTGAGCACTGGGCTGTGAAGCTGCCCGCATCCTCTGCAGCACCAGTTCGATCCCCCACCAGACCATGGGCGAGGGTCCCACATGGTGCGCAGACCTCTCCTGCCGCCCGCTGCTCCCCTCAGCAGTGTACTCCGTCATTCTGCCTGTTCTGCTTTCTGCTCTGGCTCTGGTGAATTCTCTCACCCTCCCGCGCTTCTGACTGCACCCAGTGCTTGTATGAATAAATAAATAAATCTTTAAAAAAAAAAAAACAGCACTTAAAACCTGTTACATACTATACTAAAAACATTCTTTCATCTCTTCTTTTTTTTTTTTTTTTATTTATTTTTTTTTTTAAATTTTTTTTTTTTTTTTAAGATTTTTTTTATTTTATTTTATTTATTTATTTGTTTGTTTGTTTGTACAAGCACTGGGTACAGTCAGAAGCGCGGGAGGGTGAGAGAATTCACCAGAGCCAGAGCGGGGAGCAGAGCAGGCAGAAGGACCAAAGTACACTGCTGAGGGGAGCAGCGGGCGGCAGGAGAGGTCTGCGCGCCATGTGGGACCCTCCTCTGGTGGCCGGGGAGCAGCCGGGGATCGAACCGGCGCCGCAGAGGCCGCGGGCAGCTACGCAACCCAGCGCTCAACTGCTGCGCCACCGGGGAGGCCCCTTTCATCTCTTCTTAATCTTCATCCCAAGAGAGCTTTGTCATTCCCTCCATACAGCACTACAAATAAGGCATTCTATCACTGCTTCCTAAGACCTTAGCTCTCAGGCACAAAGAATGAGAGGCTCTTGCAGCAGCCTCACATCCCTGACACACACCAGATGTCATCTTTAGAGATGGGCCTTCAGTGGGAGCCTCCAGAATCCAGAGGCAGGGAATGGCCAACAGGTGTGGACGCTGGAAGCAAGAGGAAGTAGAACTGCACAGAAAGAAAGGACATTGCCTACAGGTGATGGGGTGTTGAGGGGAGGCTGCATGTGGCTTCTCAGCCATGCAGGGAGGAGGCAAGAACAGCGGGAAGTAGCAGGAAATGGTAAAAGCCTCAGGAATGTTTCCAAAAGGGAAAGCTGGGCAAGTGGAAGCAGGAGGAATGCCCAGAGGAAAAGTCTGGTTAGGGGGAGGGGAAGAGCCAGAGGAGTGCTGGGGGCTGAAAAGTCCATTAAAAAATGAAACAACAGAAAGGCACTACCCATTCCAAGACACCATTTTCCGGTGGGTCACATGGCACCCACATGTCACACAGTAACAAATCCATGGCCTTACCACCGCTCAAGGGGCAGGTATGAGACAGTTGTTTCTGGGGTATAGTCAGTCCTGGAAAAGTAACCTCTGGGAGTGCGGCTGGGAATCTATGAGCAAGTCTTTCTCCCACTTTCGTGCCAAATCCCAAATCCAGCCCACTTCTGGTAAGTCCTCCCTTAGTAAGGATAAAGGGGGGCCCTCCCTGGTGACATAAGGGGTTAAGTTACAGCACTATGAAGCAATCTTCAACCACGGCAGGGCTGACGCACATGGCACACCAGACCTCTCCTGTCTCGCCCACTGCTCCCCTCAGCAGTGTATTTCAGTCAATCCGCCTGTTCTGTTCCCCACTCTATCTCTGGTGAATCCTCTCTCACACACACACTCACCCCACCTCTGGCCTGTATCCCAGTTCTTCTGGGGTAAAGGATAAAGGAGAAGAAAGGGGCTGCCTCTAATCTCTCATTCCTCAGGGCCAGAGCTGGGACTTCGACTTCCCAACCCCTGAAGCATAAGAGGCAAGGAAAATTGGGCCCAGGACCCAAAAGAGAAATAAGAATAGAATAACGTAAGCAGGTGCAGTTTACGGGATTGAAGACAGAATTTCCAAGGCGAAGACCTGAGCCCGCGAGGGATAAAGCTCCCGGGGGGTTGGGGGGGTGGTCCCCTAGAACGCGTGCGTCAGAGGCTTCTAGGTGGCCCAGGCTCCTGGACAATCAGACGTGGATTAAGGAAGGGGCGGGGCTTCTATGGGGGCGGGGCCCGTGGAGGCGTGGCTTCACAAATTCGAATAGATCTTTGAGGGGCAGGGCTTTCCCTGCCTGGGACACAGGCTTTTTCATAGTCGAAAGTTAGCGGAGTGTTGTCGCGAGGAGGCGGGCTTTCGGAGCACTGGAAGAACTAACACAGGATTTCCAGTAGTAGGGCTGGAAGCGTGTCTGGGGGTGGGACTTCCAGGAAAGCTAGGCGACAGGGTGGGGTCGAGGACCATAAATAAAAAACAAGTGGGGGTTCGGGGAGCCCCTGAAGTTGGGAGGTGGGACTTCCGGAGAGGGGTCTCAGGGGGCGGGACTTTTACGCGAGGACCGGAAGTAGGGTCCCGGGAGAGGGGTTCCGGGGTGAAGGAGTGGATCACCTCAGGGAAAAAAAAGACCAACTCACCAGGGCCTCATGGAGTCTCCGCACCGCACCGCGGGCCGATTTGGTTCCAGATCACGTTACTGCCTCCTTTGGTCGCCTCTCCAACTTTCTCCTCGGGCCCAGCCTCCCTGGAGAAACTTTATTGCACTCACTTCCGGCCTCACTAACCCCTGACCCTCTACCTCACAGTCCCTCCTTCCCCCAGCCCACTTTTCCTAATCAGCCAGTGGCAGCGCGAGAAAGCGCAGGGGAGCAGAGCTAGCCAATTAGAGGCCTAGTTTTTATCTACGCTTCTTCTTGAGAAATGTAAGACCTGTCCTCCAATGAGAGCTCGAGTTTTCGCAAATCTTAACCAATAGAAGGCTTGAAGGAGAAGATGTCCCGCCTTAAGCCAAAGGAACCAATAGGAAACGCGGGCGGTGTGTTTGAAAGCGAGGCCAAAGAGGGTGGGAGCGCGTGCTTCTGGGAGTTGTTTGGAGGTTGGCCGTGAGCGGTCGACGGTCCTAAGACAGAGTGATCATGTCGCACAAACAAATTTACTATTCGGACAAGTACGACGACGAGGAGTTCGAGTACCGGTTAGTGCCGGCGCGGGGGTCATAACGAGTTCGCGAGTTTTGACAAGTGAGGGCACGAGGAGTTACTAAGTAGGGCTGAACCCACAGAATCGGCGCATGCGCGCGGGATAAACGGGCCGGGTGTGCCGTGGAGGGCGTAAGGCGCACGCGCGAAGGGTGGGCCGTGATTGCAAAAGACGAAAGAAGTGAATTTGGAGTAAAACTGGGGAGGGGTAGGTAGGCGTGGCTACAGTGTTTGCGTGTCGCCCACCTTCACCCTAGCGGGCTGGTAAATCATTCTCCCAACTTTATTGAGCAAGTTGGACTTGCCTTCTTGAGACTGCTTATGTCACAGCAGCACCGTAGAACCGTCGATCCTACTGGGAAAAGAAGACAGTGGCGGAGCTGGAATTTTCTGCGCGTTCTCAATGAGAGAAGAGTTCTAAGAGCCTGTGTTGCTTATTAATTCGTGGGAAAGAGGCGTGGTGTCCGGCTTGTTTTAGGAAGTGGGTTCGAAGAATTGGAGTAGAGTGAAATTAGCCAGGAACTTTGAGAAGAGACTTAACATCAACCTAATATGTTCCTAGTTAGGAAACAATTAGAGAGTGTGCATAGGTTTCAGGTGTTCTGCTAAAATACGGGGATAAGCCATGGTCTGTGCTTTCAACAAATCCGACAATATGTGGGAAATAATGACAGACTTAAGAAAGTGGTAAATAGCATAATAGAGATAGGCACATAGGACTTGCCCAGGATGGTGAAGGAAGGAATTCTGAGTTTGCATTCGATAAATCCTCAATCCATAATTCTAGACTGGAAAATTAGAAACACAAAGAATTATACAAATGCTGGCATTCCACCAGTCTGTATCAACTGTAATACATAAAAGCAACTCCCAAGTTTGTATCTTGTTTTTTCAGTTGGAGAAAATAAAATGGAAACTTGATTTCTTGTGTTTCTTCTCCAGTCTGATGCAAGGCTCTAGAGAATTCAGTGTGTGCTGATAAGTATATAATCATCTTTAAGCCAGGCTCTTGAGAAAAGACCCCAGGCTTGGACCCAATTAACTTTCTTCCCCACCTGTTTTCCTCTACATCTGAACTAAGCTAACTAAAACAATATGCTTATAACATCTTTGTGAGAACAGAGAGAAGTCACTGCTTTCATTCCCTGGAAGGTGTAAGTCTTGGTAATGGTATTTTGGTTTAAGAAAGGTTGTTTTGTCTAAGTATTAAAACCAAACTGTGTGTTAGGGGCTTGTTGGATTGTAGTCTATTTTCAGACAATTAGACAAGAACCTCTTTGGGAAAATCCTGTTACCGGCACAGAGTGGGGCTACACGTAGTACATTTTCTTTGTACCTGATGAAGTCTATCTGAGTTAGCTTGATTCAAGTCAGAGTAATCTCTTTGCCATGAAAGGAGACATAACTTTGGTTAGGAAAACGTGAAGTTTCCCAAAGGAATCTCAGTACAGCCTTTCAGAGGTAGGAAAATGAGATTCAGAATAGGTTTTTTTTTTTTTTAAGATTTATTTATTTATGCACACAAGAGCTGGGGTACAGGCCAGAGGTGTGGGGGGTGAGAGAATTCACCAGAGACAGAGTGGGGAAAAGAACAGGCAGATGGACCAAATTACACTGCTGAGGGGAGCAGCGGGCAAGTAAGGAGAGGTCTGCTGCACCATGTGGGTTGCTCCCTGGCGGGGGATCGAACTTATGCTGGAGAGGCTGGGGACAGCTTCATAGGTTGGGTCTTAACCCCTTGCGTCACCAGGGAGGCCCCCAGAGTAGGTCTTAAAGGATAACACATTTACATTTCATCCTTTGTGGTAGCTCTTCCACATAGTACTTCATAATAGGCCCTCTTCCACAAAATTACTTCTCTTCAAAAAAAAAAAATTGCTGGGCCTCCCCGGTGGTGCAGCGGTTGAGCGCTGGGTTGCGAAGCTGCCCACGGCCGGTTCGATCCCTGGCTGCTCCCCGGCCACCGGAGGAGGGTCCCACATGGCGTGCAGACCTCTCCTGCCGCCCGCTGCTCCCCTCAGCAGTGTACTTCGGTCCTTCTGCCTGCTCTGCTCCCCGCTCTGGCTCTGGTGAATTCTCTCACCCTCCCGTGCTTCTGACTGTACCCAGTGCATGTATAAACAAAAAAACAAACAAACCAGCAAACAAATAAATAAAGCATGCCTCTATAAAAAAAAAAAAAAAAATTGCTTCTCTCCCTTCCTAACCAATCCTTTAGTTATTAACTGTGTGTGCTGTGAGGCTTCCATTATGTTGTTTTAGGGTAATCAACTAGAAAACTAAGCTCCAGGAAGACCGAGGCAATGTATCAATAGTGCCTGGAATTTAAGTGCTGGTTCCTGAGTTATTAATTTGTACTTTTTCATATATTTTTGTGAGGATTTACATAATTTAGCCTTTATTCCCAGCTGCCTCTATCCCACAATAAGATTATATAAACTTCTTGACATCAGAAACTGGTTTTTCTCTAGCTTCTTATACAGGCACTTGTCTAACAGACTCTATCCAGTACTGACCCATATTTCCCACCTTCTCCTGTTTCTGTTACAGGCATGTCATGTTGCCCAAGGACATAGCCAAGCTGGTCCCTAAAACCCATTTGATGTCTGAATCTGAATGGAGGAATCTTGGTGTTCAGCAGAGTCAGGGATGGGTCCATTATATGATTCATGAACCAGGTCAGTGCAATGGTGGAAGGCAGCGGTGTAGGACTGCTTCACTGAGGGAATGAAAAAATAAGGGGAAGTGGTAGTAGTTTACTGGTTTCTCATATGACCAATCATCTAAAGAAATGCAGTGAGCAAAAAAGAATACAACAGTGCCTGGAATTTTAAGTGCTGGTTCTTGAGCTATTAATTTGTACTTTTTCATATATTTTTGTGAAGATTTACATAAATTAGCCTTTATCCCCAACTGCCTCTATCCCACACTGGGAAACCTCCTTTGTTCTATAGGTCAGTCAGTGTTCCTTTTTTTTTGGTAGTGGTTTTTGCCCCTACTTCATTCTCCATCAGAAAACAAATTATTGGATGTGTTCCAAATAAGCCAACGAAAATATATCTCTTGATAAGACACCAGACACCAAGTTCCCAGGCAGAACTAATAAAGGGCCCCCAGGGACTGTACCAACATAGCAAAAGACTTCTGGGTCTGATTCTAAGGGCATATGCTTAGATCTTGATTTAGTTATAAACATCTGAGTGGGTGAGAGCTGGGAGGTGGAGGTGGGATACACTATAGATTGTACATAGAATGGAATGGTGTGAGTTTGCCTCTCAGATTTCACTCACTTTTTCAGAACCACACATCTTGCTGTTCCGGCGGCCTCTGCCCAAGAAGCCAAAGAAATGAAGTTGGGGAGCCATTTTTCAGCCTCAAGCTTTACACAGCTGTCCTCACTAACATCTTTACATTATTACTGTGCCTTGTTGTTTCTCACTTTAATATTTAAAGGATGTTCAATACACTGAATGTGCTGGTGAATGCTTTACTGCTTGAGCAGAGCCAACAGCACCATGACCCAGCTAGATGAGTGTTCTGGACTGCAGCCTCGGCTGAGTGTGACCCCATAAGCCATGGTGAGGAAGCATCTGAGACCAAAACCATGCCGTTACAGGGATTGTGTAAACTTGCTATTTTGTTTTTTTCCTGCCAGGTGTTGTAAGTATGGTGATTTGTGTTTCATGTGTTGGAAATTCCATTTTATTCAAGAAATCTTTTCCATGTTAAAAGTCTTGATTAAAGAGGAAGTTTTTATAATCAAAGGCTCTAATTGTAACGATTTCCCCCTCTCCAGTGAGCATCACATTCCATATCATGGTCGAATTATATACCCTTTGGTTAGATAATGACGCTCAGCTTCTACTGATAATGAGGCAATACTTGGGTAATATTTCAATAGTCAGGTAATTGGTTTTTAATCTACTTAAAGCAGACATCTACTGAAATACATTTTACTCCATTAGCCTGAGAGAGAGGTTATATAGGCACAACATCATCTCATCAAAACAAATGAACTATTTCCTATAGTCAGAGGTGGTGCTTTAATATGGTCTTGATATTTGAAGGGTGTTGAGGATAAAGAGTAAAGATTGTCAGCTGGAGACTACTGATGTGCCCCACTTCCTGCCCGGCCTAAGATTCAAGCACACCTGTTCACTGTGCACATTGGTTGGAGATATTTTCAATAGTCTTCAACCTAAGCATTGGAATTACCTGGTAGCTTTGAAAGTACAAATGTCTAAATTATTCCTAAAAAAGCTGACTTAACTGATCAGAGGTGTGGTCTAGAAGTATACTATATTATACTATACTATACTATACTATACTATACTTACTATGCTATACATAAAAGTACTGTTACGCAGGTAGTTACACAATTAACCTTTGAGAAAACAGGTGTAAACTGTAGCTGTTAGAGAGAACACTCTTAAGAGTAGCACACCCGGGCATCCCTGGTGGTGCAGGTGGTTGTACGCAGCGCTGTGGAGCTGTCCTCAGCCTCTGCAGTGCAAGTTCGATCCCGGCTGGCCGGGGAGACACCCACATGGCGCAGCAGACCTCTCCTGTCACACCCGCTGCTCCCCTCAGCAGTGTATTTCATCAGTCTGCCTGTTCTGTTCCCCCACTCTGTCTCTGGTGAGTCCTCTCACCCTCCCACGCATCTGGCCTGTTCCCCGGTTCTTGTATAAATAAATCTTTAAAAAAAAAAAGAGAGAGAGTAGCATACCCTCTACACAGTAATATTGAGGGAACTGAATCTCCCCTCTTCTCCCTGTCTTCATGCATTTATTCTGAGAGCAGTAGTTCTTTAAGCGTGGGCCCTGGACCCGAAGCATCAGCATTACCTGGAAACTCATAATTTCTTGGGCTCCACCTATCCCTATGGAGTCTGAAGCTGAGGGGTGGGTCTGTCTACATTTTTTTTTTTTTTTAAAGTGGCATATATTTATTTGCTTGTTTGTTTGTTTTTTTTGTGTGTGTGTGTGTTTATACATGCACTGGGTAGTCAGAAGCGCGGGAGGGTGAGAGAATTCACCAGAGCCAGAGCGGGGAGCAGAGCAGGCAGAAGGACCGAAGTACACTGCTGAGGGGAGCAGCAGGCGGCAGGAGAGGTCTGCGCGCCATGTGGGACCCTCCTCCGGTGGCCGGGGAGCAACTGGGGATCGAACTGGCGCCGCAGAGGCCGTGGGCAGCTTCGCAACCCAGCGCTCAACCGCTGCGCCACCGGGGAGGCCCTCTGTCTACATTTTAATGTTATCCAGGTGGTCCTGGTGCACACTCAAGCTTAAGAATCCACTTTGAAACTGCCATAGCACATGTTTTGGGTTTATTTGGGGTGCAGGTGGGGGGGTCAAATATCATTACTAATAAAAAATAATAGAGCATATGGCTTATTTCATTAGGCAAAGGGAACTTTTGTTTTGCCCCCCCCTTTTTTTTTATGAGCTGAGGTTCTTTCAACAAACACAGGACTTATCACTGGAAAAAAATTATCTAGAAGCCTAGCTCTACCATTCACTTTGTTTTGTGGTTGCTTGGTATCCCTTCAACCTTTCTGGGCCTGTTGCCTATCTTTTTTTTTTTTTTTTAGATTTATGTATACTTGCAAGAGCTGGGGTACAGGCCAGAGATGCAGAGCGGGAGACGATTCACCAGAGAAAGAGTGGGGAACAGAACAGGCAGACTGACTGAAATACCCTGCTGAGGGGAGCAGCAGGTGAGACAGGAGAGGTCTGCTGCGTCACGTGGGTTGCTCCCTGGCTGGCCAGGGATGGAACTGCTGCTGCAGAGGCTTCGGATTGCTTCATAGTGTGGTGCTTAACACCTTGCACCACCAGGGAGGCCCCTGTTGCCTATCTTTAAGACGGACATGGGCCTCCCCGGTGGCGCAGCGGTTGAGCGTTGGGTTGCGAAGCTGCCCGCGGCCTCTGCAGCGCCAGTTCAAACCCCGGCTGCTCCTCGGCCACCGGAGGAGGGTCCCGCATGGCGCGCAGACCTCTCCTGCCGCACACTGCTCCCCTCAGCAGTGTACTTCGGTCCTTCTGCCTGCTCTGCTCCCCGCTCTGGCTCTGGTGAATTCTCTCACCCTCCCGCGCTTCTGACTGTACCCAGTGCTTGTATAAATAAATAAAAATAAATCTTTTAAAAAAAAAAAAAAAAAAGACGGACATTGTATCTATCATCTTAAAGGCGTTTTAGGAGTAAAATGAAGCCCACTGTGGTTCAGCAGTCTTCCAAATGAAGAATGTTGGACCTTTACTACAGAAAACAGTAGACAAATCACATCAGCATGACATGAGCTTATTAAAGGCAAATCTTAGTACCCACACAAACGTCCTGAATAGGTTAGATTTAATGAGGATATGAAGAAGGTCCCAGGTGATTAGTATGAACCAAAGGCAACTGAAAGGGAACCTTGTAAGCGAGGATGATGTGAGAATCCAAAGTGCATACATAGTGCTCTCTAGTCTATCCCTTAACTTGTGCAAAACTAATCAGGAAAGTGATGTTTAAAATAAGCACCAGGGCCTCCCCGGTGGCGCAGCGGTTGAGCGCTGGGTTGCGAAGCTGCCCACAGCCTCTGCAGTGCCGGTTGGATCCCCGGCTGCTCCCCGGCCACCGGAGGAGGGTCCCACATGGCGCACAGACCTCTCCTGCCGCCCGCTGCTCCCCTCAGCAGTGTACCTCGGTCCTTCTGCCTGTTCTGCTCCCCGCTCTGGCTCTGATGAATTCTCTCACCCCGCGCTTCTGACTGTACCCAGTGCTTGTATAAATAAATAAATAGATAGATACATAAATAAACAAATAATATTTTTTAAAATAAATAAAATAAGCACCATAGGGCCTTCCTGGTGGCCCAATGGGTTAAGAGGCAATCTAATAAGCTATCCGCAGCCACTGCAGTATGAGTTCCATCCCTGGCTAGGGAGCTGCCCACATGGCGCAGCAGACCCCTCCTGTCTCCCCCGCTGCTCCCCTCAGCAGTGTATTTCAGTAGATCTGCCTGCTCTGCTCCCCATTCTGTCTCCGGTGAATCGCCCCCCCCCCCCGCCTCGCGCTGCCTCTGGCCTATACCCCAGTTGTTGTATGCATAAATAAATATTTTTTAAAAATACAAAAATAATACAAAAATAGGCACCATAGGGGACAAGACACTTTGTCAAAGTAATTAGCTCTATCTTTTATAGTAGAGAAAAATCAAACACGCAATGCTCACCTAAAAGATCTTCCTACCTAACAGGCGATGCTGCAGTTATTCTCGGTTTTTCCCTCAATTTATAGCTACCATCTAAAATCCCTTCTGACACCAGTCCCTGCCCCGAGCCTTAGCCAAGTATGAGTCATGTTTAACTAGAACAGATAGCAAACGCATACAAGCATTTAATACAGAACGGAAATTAGAATCAAGTGTCACTTCCAGCGGCAGAGGCTGAAGACGGCGGAGACGCACACCTTCAAACACCGCTCCTTCCGCGCCCCCGACCCACGCGATCCAACCCAGGGGCGAGCAGCCCCGCCCCTGCGAGCTAAGGGCCGGCCCCCACGTTTCCGGGTGAAGGGTGGCCACGTGGTTGTCTCCAATAACAACCCAGCGCTGCTCCCGCCCTCTGGCTGACGCTTTCGAGCGACAGTGGACAACTCCAATAGAGCCTTAGAGGGAGTTTGAGCGACAGCCAAGATGACCAATTAATATGAGGTAAGTGTAATTCTAAGGCGGGACTCTAAGTACGGAAGCTGCCCCGGGACATGAGGAAAGGAGAGGGAAAGACTCGGTGAAGGGGCGAAAGAGGCAGGTGAGAATCTTGAAGAGCTCAGTATCCTGAAGCGTGGTGGGAAGATAGGATTCCAGGATAGAAAGGGTGAGGAAGTCTGCAAATAAAGACGCTGAATTCTGGTCGGGGGTGGAGGGAAGGAACGTCTTTAAAAGGGCCAAGACCTTGGATAAGAGATATTTAAAGGGACAGGTGCCCCAAAGAGACGTTTAAAGGAGCAGATGCCCAAGGTAGAGTAGACATTAGAGGAACCGAGGTTGGCCGACAGAATATAACTCAAGTGGTAGGTGCACGGGGGAGCTGGAGATTTTAAGGAGATTAGAGCCAAACTATGAAGACGTTGTAAAAGGCGTGGGCTGGTGTTTGAGAACACATTTATTAAAGAGGCAGGGATAAAGGAGTTGCTTGTCAAGGGCTTGGTTAGGAAAAACATCCACCCCTGCTCTTCCCCATTGTCCTTTCTGAATTCAGGTTCCTTGGATTCCGAACCCCCTGTTCCCAGGCTATGGTCCCCAGCGTCCTGTAGACCTGGCGGGATCTCAATGGTTTCGCCCCCTATTTGGGGGTCTAGGTGGCTACTGGAGGGCCTTGCAGAGGGGCAGAGAAAGCAGGACCATGGCATCTAGGGCCTCTGAGCCTCTCCCAAGGCGCAGCGTGACGGCGGGCATCATCATTGTTGGAGATGAGATCCTAAAGGTGTGTCTGGGACAGAGGAGGGAGGAGGGTGTGGCATTCTCTTGTCCTAGTTCTGTTCAGGGAGGGTGACCAGGGTGGGAGCCACCTTCCAGAAATAGTCCTGGAGTGAGTCCAATATAATAGAGGAGAATGACTCTCATTTTTTCAACTATGTTGAAAAACTCGTAGCAGTATGGTAGGGGGAGGAGGGGCTTTACAGAAATGACAAAGTGTCTAGCTGTAAAGGAGATATAGATGAGAATATTGCTTTAAGAGTTCATTCCAATCTATTTGGAAAATGACTCAAGGCACTCAACAGAATGGATAAGTGAGATAGAAAGAAAGTGCTAGTAGAGAGAAATCCTTCTTCATGACCAGGAAGGACTTACCAGAGGACGTGGTAGGCATTGGGTTCATCATAGTAAATTTTTTTTAGATTTATTTTATTTATGTATACAAGAACTGGGGGGTGTAGGCCAGATGTGTGGAGGGTGAGAGGATTCACTGGAGACAGAGTGGGGAGCAGAACAGGTGGATCTACTGATATACACTGCTGAGGGGAGAAGCGGGAGAGCAGACAGAAAAGGTCTGCTGCACCATGTGGGTCAGCTACCTGACCAGGGATCTAACTGTTGCTACAGTGGCTGGCGATGGCTTGATAGCACTGACTAACCGCCGTGCCACGAGGGGAAGCCCTATCATAGTAATATTGACCTCTCTTTTTGAGTGCTTATTAGGGCCTGGCAGTGTGCTTTTTTATCACATGTGTGACTTTACTAGTTCTCACAACAACCCCAAGAGGTTGGTACTTATGTAATAAATCTCAGTTAATAGATTATGGACTGAGACTAAGAGAGGTTAAGAAAATTGCCCATGGTTACACAGCTAGGAAGGGTAGAGGTGGGATTCCAACTACATTCGTACTCCAGACTAACCCTTAACCACTAAATCCTCTATAGAGATGTAGAAGGAGATGGAGGTGGAAAAGAAGATTGGATACTCACCATAGTCTAATAGATGGCTTCACATATTCTGCAAAGGAATTTGAACTTTATACTGTATCTAGTTGGAAAAAACAAATAGCTTTTAAGCCCAATAGTGATGCAATCACAGTGAAACATTAGGAAGGTTATTCAGGAGCTTGCGGCTGGGAGCCTGGCCAAGGGGCTGTCACCACTGTCCAGGTGAAAGGTGCCAAGGATCTGCTTGGTAGCAGTAAGGACAGAGACAAGAGACATTTCAGGAGTAGAGTTGACAGGCTGAAGGGCCTGACTAACTGTGGACAGTATCTGGGCATGCCATTGACCAAAGTGACAACAGCCAGGGATACAGTGAAGATGCCCCGTAAGCACTTGGAGACTTGGGACAAAATTCTCAGGGTTGGTGAAGTGGATGAGTTGTCTACATCGAATTGATAATTGAATTGAATTGATAATTGAATCCATAAGCACAGATGAGCTCAAGGTCAAAGTGTAGAGAAAGCCAAGGTGAATCACTATCCCTGACTCCATTCAAATGGTCTTTCCCACTCTTGTGCCCAGTCCAGACTTCTTGGCAGCCTGGGCTGGAGTCCCCCATAAAGCAGAGTACCCCGCCATCATGCAAATCATGCCCTTCGTCCCCACAGCATTGAAAGTCTCGCCTTCCTCATCCCCAACCCCCCAGGGACACACTCAGGACACCAACACCTACTTTCTGTGTCGGACACTACGCTCTTTGGGGGTCCAGGTGTGCCGAGTCTCTGTTGTACCCGATGAGGTAGCCACCATTGCAGCTGAGGTCAACTCTTTCTCCAGCCGCTTCACTCATGTCCTCACAGCAGGGGGCATTGGCCCCACTCATGATGATGTAACCTTTGAGGCAGTAGCACAGGCCTTTGGAGAAGAGCTCAAGCCACACCCTGAACTGGAAGCAGCCATCAAAACCCTCGGAGGGAAGGGCTGGGAGAAGATGTCACTGGTGCCATCCTCTGCCCGCCTGCATTATGGCACAGATCCTCACACCGGCCACATCTTCAGATTCCCACTGGTCTCTGTCCGAAACGTCTACCTCTTCCCAGGTATCCCAGAGCTGCTGCAGCGGGTGCTAGAGGGCCTGAAGGGCCTGTTTCAAAACAAAGATGTTCAGTTCCACTTGCGAGAGCTATATGTGGCAGCTGACGAGGCCTCTATTGCCCCCATTCTGGCTGAGGCCCAGGCCCACTTTGGACGCAGGCTTGGTCTGGGTTCCTACCCCGACTGGGGCAGCAACTACTATAAGGTGAAGCTGACACTAGACTCAGAAGAAGAAGGACCTGTGGAGGAGTGCCTGGCCTACCTGACCACCCGTCTGCCCCAGGGATCACTGGTCCCCTATGTATCCAATGCCGTGGAGCTTGCCAGTGAAGCCGTATACAGACTCACCGAAACAGGTAGGGATGCCCTGCCAAGGGGCAGGACACACCAGACCATTAGTGCCACCCCAGGTCCCAGGAACACAGGCGCTGTTGGAGCCTTCTTGAAAATGCAGGAGAAGGTAGAAGATAGCTACAGCTGATTCATTCATTCTTTCTAAAAACACTGATTGCATGCCTCCTTTCACCAGCTCTGCTGGGTGACAGGGATAGAGCCTGACAGGCCAGATGTCTCTCCTACTCTGATGGACCAGCAGCTTAACAGGAAAACTAGGCATTAAACAAGTAATCATGCAGGAGATGTCAGTGACAAAGCAAACACCAAGGCAGGGATCTGGGGTCAGAAGTGGCTTCTCTGGGCAAGGAATATATAAGCTGAGTGATAAGGAGAATTTGGCCAGACCAGGAAGTAGGCAAGTACACAGAGTGTGTGAGCCTGGAAGGAAGCAGAATGAGACTTAGGGGAATGGAAAGGAACCAGAGCCCCGGAGGAAGAGGGAGGCAAGGTGTGCTAAGTGGCAGGCAGGGGCAATCTGCAGAGCCCAGCAGGTGGCACGAAACAGTCTGGCCTTTATCCCAGGAAGAGCTCATAGGAGGAAGACAGGAACATTAGGAAGCTACCTTGAAGGTCAGTCAGCAATGGCACCGTGGCCCTGCTGCCGTGATGGTCACGTGTCTCTGTCCAATGCTCTTCCATGCCCTCCTGGCAGGTTCTTCTCTGGGATGCAAGGTGGCCGGCGCCCTGCAGACCATTGAGACTGCCCTTGCTCGGTACAAGCTCACCCAACTCTGTGTGGGCTTCAACGGGGGCAAGGACTGCACTGCCCTCCTGCACCTCTTCCATGCAGCTGTGCAGAGGTGAGCCCCCCACCCCCAGAGGCAAGGCCCAGGGATTTCCCTCTGTAGTTGCTCCTCCTGTGAAGGAAGGAAGGGGGGTGCCTGGTGGACGGAGGGGGGGAGACAGCTGCAGTGACCCGTCACCGCGTTTATTGAGCATCCGACACATGCCCGGCCCTGGATGTAGATGTGCCGGCCTCCCTTCCTGACCGCAGGGAGGGCACAGTCCTGCTGGGTTGGCGGGATTTACGTGTTGAAACAGAGGTGTATGCTGCAGACTAGAGGCGACAGATCAGAGCAGGTTTCCCATAGGAAGTAAGTTCTAATGGATGAGGAAGCCAAGGAAAGGGGAGAGGGGGGTGCATCCCTGAGAACAGTGCAAGTTCTCAGAGAGCATCTCTCTGCCAGAACTAGCGAGCCTGTGGATTCTTCCCCCTCCCTAGGAAATACCGTGATGCCCGAGACCCTCTTCAGATCCTGCATATCCGCAGCATTTCACCTTTCCCTGAGCTGGAGCAGTTCTTGAAGGATACCATCAAGAGGTACCCGGGACCTGGAGATGTGGACCTCAAAAGGGGTTTCGCTGGGCCTACTCCTGACCCTCTCCTGGCTTCCTCCTCAGATATAATCTGCAGGTACTGGAGGCGGAAGGTGACATGAAGCAGGCCCTGAGTGAGCTGCAGATACAGCATCCCCAGCTGGAGGCCGTCCTCATGGGTACCCGGCGCACCGACCCCTACTCCTGTAGCCTCTGTCCATTCAGCCCCACTGACCCCGGCTGGCCATCTTTCATGCGCATCAACCCGCTGCTGGTAATGGCCAAGAGGATTTATTGCCTTTAGTCTCATGGCCCCTGTCAGACACTGCATCCTGGCTTGGGGATAGGGGAGTTTGGAACCTGGGGCTTGTATGAAAGTGCCCCATCTTTCAAGGAAGCCCATGCTATTTGTACATTCGTTCATAGTGGCCACTGGCTGCAAATTACTAAAAACCACTGAATTGTATACTTTAAAAATTGAACATTATGGTATGTGAATTATATCTCAGTTTTTTTAATTTAATACAGTTAAGATTCAGTTCTTCACTTGCATTCACCACATCTCAAGTGACCACTGTGCGAGGCAGCACAGACGGAGACTATTTCCATCATCACTAGACAGCTCTGGCTTGCACACACAGCTCACACTGTAGCGGAGGGTGGGCTGGAAGGAAGAGGACAGGGTGAAGTCTTTCCCTGTCTCATTGCTTGGCCTGTGCAGAGCAAGATGTACCAAAGAATTGGACAGCAGGCCATCTCTCAGAGGCCCAGGGGGCAGAAGAGCCCTGGATAGGCCCTTCCCAGGCAGCAGGGGGTAGGTGTGGGAGAGGGAATACTTGTGACACTTCTGTGACTTTGACCTTCCAGGACTGGACCTACAGAGACATCTGGGACTTTCTGCGCCAACTCTTTGTCCCATACTGTATCCTGTATGACCGAGGGTAAGGGTGCTGCAGGGCAGAGAATGGTGAGGGGGAGACACGAGGATGCTGAGATTGGGAGAGCCCACCCCACCACACACTTGCCCTTCAGTCTCCCCACCTCCATTCTCTCGGCTCCAGGTACACGTCCCTGGGAAGCCGGGAGAACACAGTGCAGAACCCGGCCCTGAAGTGCTTGAGCCCCGGGGGACGGCCCACTTACCGGCCAGCCTATCTACTTGAAAATGAAGATGAGGAGCGCAACTCCCGCATGTGACCCCCCTACTCCTATCCACTCCAGGAGGGGGGAAGCTGTCCTGGGCTGTAACCTGTCAATAAACTGTCTCTCCAGTGCCTGTTGCTCTGGCTGTGTCTTCCTGTTCCAGGGGATGGGAGAAGCAGAAGTAGGAGGCCACGCGTGCCAGCTCTGAGCTGGCCCTACTCTAAGGGATCTGGGGTGGGGCAGAATAGGCTGGAAAGGAGCTCTCAGCTGATTCTCAAGGCCAGCCTCAGCAGGAGCATACCAGGGTATAGGAGAAGGGAGCTAATCCAGCTGCTGGAGACAGGGGCAACCAGGCAGAACATCCAAGGTTGGAGGCCCTGGGGAAGAAGTGAGCTGGGCTGGCCTGGCTGTGGAGAATGAAAGTTGGAGTGGCCAGGCCCTCTTCCTAACCCCACCCTTCAATATCTGTTCGTAGGGGCTGACTCAGCGCATTCTGGGGCCCAGAACCTTCCTATCAAGAACCCTGGATAGATTCAGGGGCCTCTGTGACATAGTCATGAGATCTGAGGGGGAGAGGGACAATTGATAAAAGACATTGGAGGTGGCTCCCACACCCTTCCTCAGAACTGCTGCCCACATGCAGTCCAGGACACAACCCCTAACTCAGGCCCTGCCCTTTTCCCTCGGAGGGGCCCTGCAAGAAGCTGGTTTCCAGGTGCCTGTCATGAAGATGGGCATAGAGTGGGAGGGCCTGCCTCAGACCATGTAGGATGTCGCCTACATCCGCCTATGCTGCTGGTGTATTAAAGAGCTGCTGGATTAAAGGCAGCATGGACTGCCTGCTCCCTGCTGACACCATGGCTGGCATTACTCAGGTGGGCAGGGGAGGGCAAACAGTAGACATGGCTGCAGCTTCTGTGGCAAAACTTGCCTCTCAGCTTCCCAATCTCTTCTTTAGCAATCACCCAACACCCCATCAAAACTCCTGGGCCAGCTGTGCTTGACCAAGGATGGGGCATGAGAACGAGTAAAGCTTTGAGATTGTGCCATCTGTTAGGACTGCCTCACCACTGGGCTTCCTTTGCCCCCAATCTGGTGGACCTCTGGGAGGGAGAGGCTTGGCCTGCTGGTTAGGATCCCACTAAGACCTGGCAGGCAGGATCTGGCACTCTGCCACACCAGAGAACAGCAAACCCACCAGCCCAGATGGTTGATCTTACCATCGGCTCTTAGTGCCAGGAATGGGCTGCCTCCTAAGATCTGTGTTTGAGAATCACTGAACTGTATAATAAATAGGCCTTGAGGCTAAAAGTTCTAAATGTCTAAAAGGGAATCAGAAAAAGTCAACCCTGAAGGGTCTTAGGCAGGCTGCAGACCAGGGAGGGAAGGAACACATCTTGGATAGAACTGAAAGGAAAGCCACTTTTCCCGACTCACTATGCCTGGGTGGGAGCATAGAGGATGGGAAGGCCAGCTTCCTCCCAACTTGCAGGGAGTGGAGGACCGGCTTGGGTAGGGTCTTCTGTGAGACCCTTGTTAGAATGGGAATCTGAATGGAAGACTTGTTCTACGCAGCTCTCCTGCGTCTGAGGGTCTTGAAAGCACTGGGCCTGCCTGTGCTCGTCCCCAGCCCGCTAGTCCTCCAGTCGGCACACAAAGTGGCAAGAGCAAGGCTGCTGTGTGGCCACAGTGTCTCCAGGGTTTTTCACAGTGCAGCTCCACCAGGATGCAAGCAGCCAGCGTAGAATGGACTCTTCGCTTTCACTCACAGCTACCAACAGCACATGCTCCCAGTGGTAGGCACATCCAGCCATTTCATCACCTTGCTCTTGCTCACCAATGTGCCTCTACACAGCCCCCCAAAATCTCAGAGCCAGCAAGAATACTCCAAGTGGCCCTGGGATCTCACTCAGCACACCCTGGCTCCTCTTGGGACCCACTTATTGCCCTCTTCTTTCTCTCCTGGGGAACTGGCCTGGAGATGGAGTTTAGGGCCCGCCTCCCACGCCCAGGGACTGGCACTTCCTCAGCCTTCTTCTGAGTTAACTCCTTTCTCTCTGGACTTCTTTTCTTTGTTTTTGTAAAGATAATAAACAAGCTTCACATTGGTAAAGAATTCCTGTAGTAAAAAAGTAAGCCTCCCTTACTCTCAAGCCCACCCTCCAAACCCCAGCTCACCTCCCTGCAGGTAACCATGGTGACCAATTTGTTGGCACACCTTCCAGATAGTCTAGGCATAGTCTGCATCTTCATTCGTTGAGCAAATACGGAACGTCTACATGTCAATCTGGGTGCTTTGAATCCAGCAGCAAACAGAACAGATATCTGTAGTCACCAAATTGACATTCTAGTAGGTAAAGCTAGAAAATGAATTATAATCTTCAGTAAGCTTATCGATGTTATTAGCCCATGGGTGCTATGGAAAAAAAGAAAATAAGCTGGGGATGGGAGGGGGCGGGTCATGGAGCACCTATAAACCATGGTGAAAACTTGAGCTTTTATGCTGAGTGAAATGAGGAACTACTGCAAGGTGTTGAGCATGAACTGATTTTTTATTTAGAAGGCTCACTGGCTGCTGTGTGAGAACAAACTCTAGAGAATCAGGGGTAGATGTAGGAGAATTATTAGGAGGTTATGGGCACAATCCAAGCCAGACATGTTGGTGGCTCAGAGCAGGCCTAAAGAATAGCAGTGGTGGGTCTCCCTGGTGGTGCAAGGGGTTAAGACGCAACCTCTGAAGCTCTCTGCAGCCACTGCAGCATGAGTTCGATCCCTGGCCAGGGAGCTGCCCACATGGCGCAGCAGACTTCTCCTGGCTAGCCCACTGCTCCCCTCAGCAGTGTATTTCAGTCGGTCTGCCTGTTCTGTTCCCCACTCTGTCTCTGGTGAATCCTCACTCCCCCGCCACCTCTGGCCTGTACCCCAGTTCCTGTATGAATTAAGTAAATAAATCTTTAAAAAAAAAAAAAAAGAATAGCAGTGGTGAGAAGCAGTTATCCTCTGCTTAATGCTTTGCTCTGTTCCTTTCCATGTCGTATACAGGCTCCACACCAGTACATTTAGAGCCTGACTATCTTTCTCACAGCAGCATGGTACTCCAACTCCAGGTTATTTCTTATCTCTGGCATCCACAAAATGCAGGCCAGTGCTCCAGTCTGGTTCCTTCAGGGCCCCATCCCTGCCCCAGGACAAAGCAGTGAGGAGTCAGGTCCTGAGTGCATCCAGAGAAAGGTTAGTGGTAATGGTGGACGCAGCACTAACTTCCCATGTGTATCTGGGGCTCCTGCCTTCCCACAGTTTGTACCCTCTTGGCCAGTTCCAGTACTTCCCCTACTCAAGCACTTACCCTCTGCCTTCTTTTTCCTTTCTTAGGAAAGGAAAAACAGGGCCTCCCTGGAGGCACAAGGGGTTAAGCACGGCACTATGAAACTATCCTCAGCCCCTGCAGTCCAATCCTTGATCCCCAGATTGTAAGGGAGCTACCCACGTGGCACAGCAGACCTCTCCTACCTTGCCCACTGCTCCCCCCAGCAGTGTTATTTCAGACAGTTTGCCTGTTCTGTTCCCCCACTCTGTCTCTGGTGAATCCTCTCACACACACACCCCCGCCACCTCTGGCCTGTACCCCAGTTCTTACATGGATAAACAAATCTTTTTAAAAAATTGGTGGCACCTCCCTGGTAGCGCAAGGGGTTATGCACAGCCCTATCCACAGCTATCCGCAGCCTCTGCAGCACAAATTTGACACCCGGCCAGCCAGGGAGCTACCCACATGGCACAGCAGACCTCTCCTGCCTTGCCCGCTGCTCCCTTCAGCTGCTCCTTTCAGTCAGTCTGCCTGTTCTGCTCCCCACTCTGTCCCTGGTGAATCCTCTCACCCCCTTCACCTCTGTACCCCAGTTCTTGTATGCATAAATAAATTTTTTAAAAAATCAGGGGCATTGCCTAGAGGTGCCTCCTTGAGTGTGAATTCTGGGTATAAGTGCCTTTGCCAGGGGAGGGGCTGTCTGGCAAAGACTCCTGGGGAAGTGGTTGGCGGAGAGAGGCAGAGCCTCAGGCTGTGGCCTGTGGTAGGAGGGTGGTGAGGAACTGAAGGAGGGAGAGGGGGAGAGACAGCCAGAGACCCAAGTAGAAAGTCATAGCTACAAAGAGAGCCCTGCAATTGAAGAAACTGAGGAGAGGGATGGGGAAAGAAACAAACTTCACATGCCAATCTGAGAGCCCTTTGCACACTACAAAGGCCACTGAGCCTTACAAAGGCTACCTCAAAAGTAGGTAGGACAAGGATAATTACTCCATGTTACTGTGAAAGAAACAGGCCCAGGGATGTAAAGTGACTTGTCATATCCCCAGCATACTCCAGGAGAGCAATAAATTTTTTTAAAGATTTATTTATTTATGCACACAAGAGCTGGGGTACAGGTCAGAGGCGCAGGAGGGTGAGAGGATTCACCAGAGACAGAGCAGGGAGCAGAACAGGCAAACCTACAGAAAGCACTGCTGAGGGGAGCAGCAGGCAAAACAGGAGAGGTCTGCCGTGCCATGTGGTGGTAGCTCCCTGGCCAGCCGGGAATCAAACCAGTGTTGCAAAGGCTGCTGACAGCTTCACAGCGCTGCGCTCAATCCACTGCGCCACCCAGAAGCCCCTGGAGGAGAAAAATAATTTAGTGAAGCCAGATTTCAGAGTCTCAATTCAGTACTTCTCCCAGTTAGCCTGCCTTCCTCTTCTGAGCTGGTGCTGGTGGGGGTGGTGGCCTAAATGGCATGTGAGGCAGGGCCAAGCAAGCAAAAGTGTGGCCAGTAGGTGTTACCACCCCCATCTGCACCTAGTCCAAGCTCTCCCACTTCGGCCTCAGTTCTACCTAAGCTTCCCTTGTTCTTGGTTGTCCTGCTTACTTTGGAGGGTGGGGGTCTCAGCTACCTCTTTTTCACTTAATACAAGCCAGGAGATGACTGGGCCGCAACGCCCACTGCTCTGTAAGGGGAAAGAGATGCAGCAGCTTTCCTTCAAGTTTCTCTTCCCAACTAGATAAAAAGTAAGTTTGGGAGCCTCCCTTGGTGGCGCAGCGGTTGAGCGCTGGGCTGCGAGGCTGCCCGCAGCCTCTGCAGCGCCCGTTCGGTCCCCGGCCGCAGTTGGGGGTCCCACCAAAAAAAAAGTAAGTTTGGGTTGTAAGTGTCCAAACTACTCTCTCAGAGACCTCAGGGGAACTCAATGGGATGGGGGAAATTAAAGGGGAGCAGAATGCCAAGTTAGGAAGGAATGGGTACGAACTCATCTATCATTTGGCGTGCTGGGACCCCCTAGTGGTGGTTAGGAGGTAAGGGAATGAGCAAGGTAAAATGGGGGAAGAGTCCAAGCAGAGCTGAAGTAACCCCTAAGTGCCCCGGGGTGAAGAGGGGCGGCCTGATGTTCAGGCTTTCTAGTGGGCTACACCACATCTAAGGCCGTCAATATATTTTTTTAAAGATTTATTTTTTATTTATACAATAGCTGGGGTACAGGCCAGAGGCGCGGCACGGTGAGAGGATTCACCAGAGACAGAGCGGGGAGCAGAACAGACAGACGGACCGAAAGCTCTGCTGAGGGGAGCAGCGGGCGAGAGACCCTTAATATTAAGCAAAAGTGGAGAGGGGTCAAGGAAAAGCGGTCCGAAGAGCCGCAAAATAAACTGGATAGCATAGTAATGATCTTGGGAGGGTCCTAGGTTTTCCCAGTAACACAGAGATTGGTGGAAAGGAAGGTGTCTCAGTAGTTTCACGATTAGCCCGGGGTGCAGACCCCCAAGGGCTTAGGTTCTCATTTGCGTCCTGATTTGCATCTCGTTGGGACTGAAGTTATTTC